AAGTCAGGATCCAGACTCAGCCGCTCACCCCCACTGCTTCTGTTGGTGTAATGCTAGAAGTTAGTTAGATCAGTTTGGCAAGAAATGGCGCCCACACTGAAAAGATGACATCATTGCTGTTGGTAGGTAATGGGAGCTTCTGCTTTGGAAACCCCAGAGAGTCCATCCACAAATCTCATGAGAAGTAATGAAGGACTCAGGAAAGTCAGCCTGCCCAGGTCAGCTGCATCTCTGTGTCTTACCAGAAATGTCCCGCAGAAATTACAAAGCAGTTCCATCTGCAGTAGTTTCAGAAAGAATGAAATACTTGGGACTGGAGAGATGGCTCAGAGGTTAAGGGCACTGGCTGCTCTTCCAGAGGTCCTGAGTTCAATTTTCAGCAACCACATGGTGGCTCACAACCATCTGTAATGGGATCTGGTTGTGCAGGCATACATGCAGCCAGAACACTGTATATAATAAATAAATAAATGTTAGGAAAAAAAGAAAATGAAATGAAATCCTTGAGAATTAACCAAAAAAATAAATGCGTATACAGCAAATTCCAAAACATTCCTGAAAAAGAATAAATATAAGTGAGAATACATTCCACATTCTTGTGTTGAAAAATTCAAAAAGTCAGCATCATTCAGATACAAACAAAAACCTAAAATTCTTACCAAATTCCTAGGGGCGCTGAATATCCAAAACAATATTTGAGGTATAAAGCTTGGGGGATTCGTGTTTCCTGATTTCAGAAATTATTACAGAGCTGCAGAAATCAAGCCAGGCCTGGTGACACACACTTGTAATCCCAATACTTGGAAGACGGAGGCAGGAGAATCAGGAGTTAAAGGCCGGCTTTGGATACATAGTGAGCTTGAGACCAGCCTGAGCTAAATGAGACACTGTCTCAGAAAAACCAAGCAAGCTAAACAAGCTGAGGAAATGGCTCAGTGAAGCGCTTGCCTTGCAGGCATGACCTGAGTTCAGCTCCTCAGAGCCCACGATGTCATAGCTGGCCACCACAGTGGTTTGCAGCTGTGACCCCAGCCCTGGAGGTCTCTGACCAGCCAGTCTAGCCAAACCACACCTCCCATACCATGTGTCTCTATAACTGTTTCCCTCCACTCTAGGCCCAACAGCCACTCTTCTACTCCCTGCCTCTGATTATTGTTATTCTAATTATCTCCCTTAAGTGGAATCAGAGCATTTGCCTTTGGTCTTGGTGGTGGTTCTGTTTCACTGTAGCCTGTCCAGGCTGGCTTTGAACTCCTGACCCTCCTGTCTCCATCTCCCTGCTGGCACGGGTGCATGAAGTGGGCCTCTATTTTCTTATACTTCTGGGTTTCTTTCCTTTTTCTATTTTTACAAATCATTTCCCTTCCCCACCCCTCCCTACCATCTGTTCTAAGAGCTGGGAGTCAGGACAACCTTTCCTATCACGAATGAAAAGCACAGCGCTCTTCCCTGTGTTCTTGCAGGCCTGTCCCCTCAGCGCTCCCCTCCACAGTCCAGGAACGTGTCACCAACTGGATCAGCAGTCAGCTACTGGGAGTCAAAATGCAGGGTGTTGTCGGCTGGCAGAACTGCACAGGTGCCTTAAACCTGGAAACCTGGCCTTGCTATTTCTTCCTCCTCAGGCTCCTTGCTTCCCTCGCTGCTTCCTGCCATACCATGGCCTTTCCATCCCCAGGAACTCGGGCTCTCTCTGGCCAGGTTTCCTGGTCCCTAGGTTCCTGTGATGATGAGTGTTGATCTTCCCAGAATGCTCGGGCGGGCGACACACTGGGTGAGGAGAAGCCAGGAAGACCATGATGCTGCTTTGACCTCCAGGATGGGGGAAGTGACGCTTAACAGGATGGGCCCTTCTGCCGTTCTTCCCAGCCATTCTGTGTGAGTCACAGTGCTGGGCAAGTGCTCTGAGGAGTGAGGGAGTCCCGGTGCAGCACAGCGGTGCAGCACAGCGGAGGTGTGCAAGGTAGGCCAGACAGCAGACAGCACTGGCCGCCCAGGGCTGGCTTCCTGCTCTGCTCTCCTGGCTCACAGATGCGAAAGGGGAGGCAGCCCAAGGGACTCTGTCTCGGGTAGTCTTACCCAGGATGCCTGTTGCATTGTTCCGAGAACCAGCCTACCTGTTTACCCGGTGTCATTAGTACCCTGCAGGTCATGACCCCTTAGCCAGGGCACCTCTAATACTTGCCCGCTGTTCCAGAGCAGATACTCTGCACCCTTTGGGGAAGCGGACAGAGACTGTGCGTTAGAATAGCATTGTGCACTCAAACAGGCACTTCAGTGGTTGTTAATGAAAGTGTTCGGCCATGGTGGAATTGGATTTGGGAATGCCCTGGGGTGGTCAGCAGCTCTGGGGAAGGGAGAATTTACTTCTGAGGAGGTAGTGCCCAACCAGGGGGATGTCAGCTCGGGTGGCTAGACTTTTCTTTGGAAAGTAGTATCTGAGGTGATCTTCAAGGGAAAGTGTGGGCACCAAAAAAAAAAAAAAAAAAAAAAAAAAAAGACAGTGTTGCTGCCGGGAAAAAGGCTTTAGGAGTATTTAGGAGTATGGCATAAGCTGGGTGTAGTGGTCCATGCCTTTAACCCTAGCACTTGGGAGGCAGAGGCAGGCCAATCTTTGTGAGTTTGAGTCCAGCCTGATCTACATAGTGAGTTCCAGGACTGCCAGAGTTAAACAGATCCTGTCTTGAAAACAAAAGAAGAAGAAATATGTAGTGTGGAATCTTGAACATACTGGATTCAGCAAGAACTACATGGTTCTGAGTGCATTGAATTCTGGCAGGAGATAGCCAGTGGCTGCCAGTTAGGAACAGAGAAAAACCATGTTCCTTCTTGGCATGGGTAATCATGCCGGGTGGGGTCAAAACTTGGGGGATGTTGCATTGGAACTCCAGCAGGGTTAGGTGGCTGTGAACACAGGTAGGGTATGGGGGTTGGGGTTGGGAGGGGCAGGGCAATGCCTGCTCTGAAACCTGGTCACAGTCGGCTATTGTTCCTGCCACCCTTTCTTCTGCCTCGTCATATAGATGTCTGGAGTTTTCCACCCTTACAAGCTGTCTTTTGACTGGCTGCCATTTCTAAGTCTGGGCTTGTAAGAAAAGAGTGGACTCTTTATGGCCTTCAGAATATTTTCTTGCTGCCATGACCTAAAATAAATAGGGAAGACTAGAGGTTGGCTCTGATTGATTCCGGGATTTCTTTTATTTGTTTTTGTATTTCTTCTTTATTTGTGGGGCCGGGGGTGGAACCAGAACCTTCCACACACTAGTACTCTGCCACTGAGCCACAGCCCCAGATAATTCATTCTTCTTTTTAAATCCTGTGTTCTTGGCCTCGTGGCTATTGAGACAGGCCATGGTTATTAGCAGTGTGGTATCCAGAGCCAGAAGGGCTATTGAGCACATCATGGTTTTGCGGTAAAAAACCAAGCCAGCGTGTGTGGTAAGAATCCCCGGCTTGCACTCCTGGGCTTGGCCTCTCCCCGGGAAAGCAGGAGGGGAATGCTGGTCTCGGTACTTCCCACCTCCTCCTGTGGAACCCAAGACGTGTCTCAGGGGTTTTGATTTAATCCCATGAAGCTTTAGCAGCACATGTAGAAAGGCAGAATGTCCCTCGCTGCCTTGAGCCTTCCGGTGCTTGGTGATTTGTCCAGAGAAACAGCTTCACTCAGTCTTAGGGTCTTCCATGTCGTAGAATTTGGATCCGTCCCCAAGAATTGGTTCCATCCGCACCAACAGCCTGGGGGCTCCCACCAGCGTGAGTCCATCCACTAAATAGTGGGCATCTCCTTGCCCCTCAGCATTAAGTGCGGTGCATCTCCCCAGTTCCTCCCATCATCCCAGAGTAAAGTCTCTTTGTAGCAAAGCTCCACCCAGTCTCATTGATCCCAGAGGTGACTGAGCTGTTCTGACTGGAACACTATAAGATTGCTGCGGCCAGAATCGTCCTAGCATTCGGCTCAGGACGTCGGGGCTCCGAGAGTTAGCAGCTCATCAGTCCTTCCTCCTCACCTTCCAAAATGGGAACTAGAGCCACAGGAGGAAGACGGGACTTCCTGAGGGTCATGTAGCAGCCCGTGCAGACTCCAGGCTGAGGCAGGACTCCCTGCACTCCCTGTTGTATGCCTCTTAATAGTGGTTCCTTCAACACGGCACAGAAGAGATCGGGGGATGAGTAGGTGCAGAAGTATGTAAAGTTGCTGTTTCCCGCCTGTTCCAATTCTTGTCTGCACGCATATGGGGAGACTGGTGGTGGCCATTTCTGATGATTGCTTGGTATGGATCCCATCATTGTTAGTCTAAAATACGGAATTGGAAAATGCGATGACTGTAAACGCGCCCCGCTGTACCATATGCGGTGAAAGCTTGGCGATTCTTACATCGCTGTGGCTCCTGCTTCCCAGCCATCTCTGACATAGCCCTTTGGCCTTCCACAGCCCTCTCTGCTCCAATTCTTGCAGTCATCTTTCAAGAGGGCTTATCCGGCTGGCTTCTGTCAGATTGGTGTACCTCTGGTCTCCCCTACCAGCCACTCAGTAAACCTCAAGGTCATTCGTGCTCAGTACCTCCGTGTAGTGGGTTCAAGACTGCGAGCTCTCCAGCCGTCCCCACAAATGAGCGCTTGCCGTTTTGATCTTTTGGCTTGCTGTGCTTTCCTAGTTTCCTAGTGGCCTCCATCGGAAAACTGGGAGTCACTCTTGATTGATGTGTATGAGAACCTCACAGGACAGCAGGGGCCACCTCCCCACTCCGTCTTGCGTTGCCCCCCTTGTCTAGCTGAAAGCCTCTGCAGTCCCTGAATAGCCCATTGTAACACTGTCTCTGTGATCATATTGCCTGCTAGACCATCAGCTCCCCAGCGCCCTGTATGGTGCCTGGAATGTTTCAGTGCACATCAGTCAAGGACACGAGTGTCACCAGTCTTTGGGAAGGACCGTGTCTCCAGCGAAACGCTCACAGACGGCAGAGATGCTGACCATTTTCTTTCTCTTCCTTGTTTCCCTTTAGACTAAGGTGACAGTGCCAGGTGGATCAGCAGCCATTCCACTGCCCGCTCTGCGGTTGTGCCAAGAGTAGGGGAGCATGGAGGAGAGGAAGCAGGAGACAACAAATCAAGCGCACGTCCTCTTCGACCGGTTCGTCCAGGCCACTACCTGCAAGGGAACCCTCAGGGCCTTCCAAGAGCTCTGTGACCACCTGGAACTGAAGCCCAAGGACTATCGCTCCTTCTACCACAAGCTCAAGTCCAAGCTCAACTACTGGAAGGCCAAAGCCCTCTGGGCCAAATTGGACAAGCGGGGCAGTCACAAAGACTACAAAAAGGGAAAAGCCTGCACCAACACAAAGGTAAACCTGGCTGCGCTTGGGGTCTGGGATCACCAGCACAAGGGCTTCACCTGGCTTCCATGAAGAACTTGGAAGAGGAGGGTGGGGAGAGCACGACCTCGGCTTAGCTGAAGGGTTAAACTTTGCTGAAATTTTGTTACCTGTGTTCATTTGACACTTCCACCCTGTAGACCCTGTTCTGAACGTAGTCCATGTATTCGCTTATTGGACCTTCAAAGTTTGAGGGCAGGTGGATGGAAAGCCCTCCCACTAACGTCACACCGACAAAGGATACAGGTCCCTTAGCAGGGACATGCGTAGCCAGGCCCACATGAGTACACTCTCTGAATGTGACTTCGTGGTCCCTGGCCTGTCACCTTTCCATATCAGCACCTGGTAAGGCTTTGTCACAGTGTCAGGCTTCTTCCTGTCCATAGCCCAAAGGGCGACTTGGAATGTCACAAACAAGGGCCTTGGAATGGAAGTATTTCTGTGGCTCTTCACAGTGTAGAAAGATAGAGTTTCCACAAAATGGCTTGGATGAAGCCTGAGCTATGCACTCACTGAGTGAGGAAGTGAGGATGTGTGCTTGCCTGAGGCGGGGTAGGTGTGAGTGAGTGAAAGGGACGGAGGCAGTTCCTGCCTTCCTCTTTGGAGAACTCCTTCTGAGAGAAGTTAGTAAGCAAATTTCCAATGGCTTCAGGGCTTAATTTATCTTGTGAGACACCTAGAGACACATGGAGAAATTTGAAGATTTGAAGGCATGGTTTTTATGAGTGACTAAGGGGAGCTCAGAGAAAGACTACTTGTTTCACAGGCCCTGGGTTCCAGCCTCAGTATCTTCTCTTCTCAAAAAAAAAAAAAAATTTACACACACACACAGCAAGAGAGAGAGAGAGAGAGAGAGAGAGCACAAAAATGAAGAAAAGAATATGAAGTCAAAGTATTGTGTGTCTTCCCTCTGTGTGTGAAGTACAGACTGTTTAAGGTCTTTCCTGCCCCAAGAAGGTTAACAAGAGCACTTCCCTAAACTTCCAGTCAAGAAGTGACTTTAAAACTCATATCAGGGGCTGAAGAGATGGCTCAGTAGTTAAGAACACTGGCTGTTTTTGCAGAGGACTGGAGTTGGGATCCCAGCACCCCCACTGGGTGGCTCATAGTTGTAGCTTCAGGACATCTGACACCTTTTTCTGGCCTCTTTGGGTACCTGCAATACACACAGAGACAAAAATAAATACATTTTAAAACAAGACAAAGCAAAGCTTTGGTTCCAGGACATCCAGTGCTTCTTCTGACTTCTTCTGAAGGAGTTCAGCAGGTGGTGTTCACACATACAATCAGACTCACAACATACACTCGGGCTCACATGCACACACTCAGGCTTACATGCAAACATTCGGGAACACATACACTCCGGATCACACACATACACTCAGACTCACATACACACACTCGGGCTCACATGTACACACTCAGGATCACACACATATGCTCAGGCTCACAAACACTCAGACTCACATACACACACTCAGACTCACATACATACACTCAGACTCACATACACACACTCAGGTTCACATGCACACACTCGGGCTCACATGCATACACTTGGGCTCACATGCACACACTCGGGTACACATACACTCAGACTCACATACACACTCAGGTTCACATGCACACACTCAGGATCACACATATAAACTTCACATACACTCAGGCTCACATGCACACACTCAAGCTCACACATATACACATAAAAATATTTAAAAGCAAAAAGACAAATTTTTCCATACGTGAACCTTTGGGTCTTAAAAGTTACCTCCTGGGAAGAATGTGCACGGTACACCCTGGCTCAATTGCCTGAATGTAGCTAGTAATCTTATATTTAAACAGCAACTTGCCTATGACGTAGAAACTTCTTAAGGGTTCTGTTTTGATGAAAGATGAGATGTGATTTTCATATTGTTTGTTGAGATGATGGTCCGCTTAAGTCTTGCCGATCTGTAGGTCCTCTAGGCTGCTTGAGGTAGACATGGTTGGGTTTCAGTCTTCTGTGTACACGGGAATCATGAACTCTTCCTTCAAGCCATTGCAAGGGCTTTGCTGTCCTTGGCAGGCTTCAGGAATCTCAGTCGTGGAGTATGGCCCTGGAGTGATAGTTACCAGAAGTGTGGTTTGAGAGGCGTGGCCTCTGCCCTGAAAGCACCTGTATTTTCCAGTGTCTCATCATTGGAGCTGGCCCCTGTGGTCTCCGGACAGCCATCGACTTGTCCTTACTGGGAGCCAAAGTGGTTGTTATTGAGAAGAGAGACGCCTTCTCCCGAAACAATGTCTTGCATCTCTGGCCCTTCACCATACATGACCTTCGAGGTCTGGGTGCCAAGAAATTCTACGGCAAGTTCTGTGCTGGAGCCATCGATCACATCAGTGAGTACCGCCAACTCCTCTTGTTCCCATGTTCAGTAGACAGACAGGTAGGTTACCTGAGGAATTCCTCCTCAGCCAGGATGTGTCCCCGGCCACCAGTGCTCCTCCTCAGCCAGGATTTGACCCAGCCCCCAGTGTTCTATAACCTGGGATTCTCAGCCTCAAGTGGATCTCTTGTACAAAAAGAGTTAGAGTTTGGCTTAAAGATTCTTAGTTAGGAACCAGGCATGATGCCACGTGCCTTTAATCCTAGCACTCAGGAGGCAAAGGCTAGCCTGGTCTACTGAGCAAGTTCCAGGACAGTTGGATACACACAAGGAAACCTTGACTATACACACACAGACAGACACACACACACACAGTTGGGTCTTGGACTCTTGCTGAGTACCCATGGTATGTGCAGTGGAGGGGGAAGGGTCGGCATTGGAATAAGGTGGACAGTTTGGATTCCAGCCCTCTGGTGGTTCGTAGTTTGGTGGAAGGGAGAATGGGCTTGGGTTCTGTGTTGTGATTATGCATACCCTCTATTGATGCAGGAAAACAGTGCCCTGGGGACACAGGCGTGGGAAACCACACACAAAGAAAGGAGAGTCGTAGCTTAGACACAGATGCCAAGTCTGCCGTTGAGAGTCTGTGTTCTGGTAAAGTCAGAGCCTTGCATCTTTCTTAAGATAGCCTTGTTGTCACAAAGCGGTGTGTCTGAAAGCAGTTCGGAGCAGTGTCTGCATCATCAAGCTACAGCACAGTCTGTTTACTGCTAATAATCAGTCTAGGGAGATGTTAGTAAGGAGCACTTGTTCTGAGCTCCTCCGTATGTGACCTGGAAACGCAGTCAGCCATTAGACCTTTCGCCGTTTGAAGTGGTTCTACCAATTTATCCAACACTAGCTGGCGGCCGCCACATTCCACTTCGTAGACGACGTGCTCGGCCCATCTGCCAGGTTGTAATTTGTTAAGCTTCTTGGAACCCACAGTTGTCTGCAAAAATAAAGTGTGTGCTCGCATGATTCCCAGGGAGTCTTTGGGAGTGTGACTCAGAAGGGCGAGGGTGTGGTCAGTTGAGGAGAGTGACCAGGATGACTTAGGGGATTTGCACATGCTCGTAGCTCATTAGTCACAAGCTGTAGGTAAATTTGGCCTTAAGAGAGGCCGTAGGGTCGTGGACTGACTAGATTTGTGGTCCTTATCTGTGGCCAGATTAATTTAGGGCAGAGGTATCTTAGACCAGGGATAGAATTTCTGTCTCACTGCAACCTGTCATTGATGCCAGATCTAGTAGGGGTTCATTCGGCATCAAATACATTTATGACTGTGATCATGAGCAGGATTCAGTCCTTTTGGACCTCAGTTTCTACACCCGTAAGTCTCTGGTGGTGGGAAACAGTAAGGGATAGGATGGGGTTGTGTTTTCTATGAATCTGAGGTCAGCAGGGGATTAGAGTGGAAGGCGGGTGGTGTGGTATCTTCCCTGTGTGTTGGCCTCTCCTGAGCTTGAATGAGCAGACACCTCTGAAGACTCTGGATGCTGCTGGAAGCAGTAGGTCTCGCTGGACCCCTCTGCCATTGTGTTAGGTTATTTGGAATACCTGCCTCCAGAAGTGGGGTGGCCTAATATATCCAGAACGTCCCTACCACTGTTTGATGTTATCTTTACAACATGAAGGAAGAACGCGAACTTGTGAGTCTTGTCTGCTGCAGCAGCCCTTGGGAACCTACGCAGACGTGGATGGAGGGGAGGCACCAGGAAGCCCTCCCCTTCCCGACCCCTTGCTGGCAAGCTCTTGTGTTCTTCTAGGTATCCGTCAGCTGCAGCTAATCCTCCTGAAAGTCGCCTTGATCTTAGGCATTGAAATCCATGTCAATGTGGAATTCCAAGGACTCGTTCAGCCTCCTGAGGACCAAGAGAATGAACGTGAGTCGGACAGAGGAAGGCATGAAGGGCACTGAGTGGGTGAGAACAGATGAGGTCATGGGTGGAGCCAGAAGGACTTGCAGGTGGTTTTCAGCCCTGACTAAAGGGGCTTTGTTCATGCAGCCTGGGCTTTTGAGAACTTTTGGCTTGCCCAAGAGGCCTTTGGCACGGTCTTAGGCGTGGCCAACTTTTGTATTATAGAAATGGAAAGGTAAAGAAAGGGTCTGTGTGAGCTCTTGTCAAAACTCTGTGTGAGGCTGGCCCCTTGTTCTGTTACATGCCGTACTTTGGATTGGAACGCCGTGTGATCTGTGTGTCTGGGTGTGGCTTCATCTAGGTAGTGGCCTTCATTTTGCTTTCGGTCCACAGGGATAGGATGGCGAGCATTGGTGCACCCCAAAACTCATCCTGTATCAGAATATGAATTTGAAGTGATCATCGGTGGGGATGGACGTAGGAACACCCTGGAAGGTACTTGCTTTGGACTGTTCGCTCTTGCCTGGGCCGTCACACGTTGGAGGCTGACCTGTCCCCAGAGACCACAGCCCTAAGATTTGCATGTGTGCTGCCCAGTCAGTGCCTGCTTTGGCATTTCCCACAGAGCACTAGGAGATAAGCTGCCCTTAGAGGTGTTGGCACCATAGCTTTTAGTCTATGCATGAATGTGCCAGGCACACAGCACCCTCCATTTTAAGGGTAATCATTAGTACTGAGCAGTAATCTGGTCAGATGGATTTCGTGTTGTCCATGATGTGGGAGGGGACTTCTTTCTTGAGTTTTTCCATCCCTGTTAGGTGAGTTCCCCCATATTCTCTATTTGAAATCCTCATCCCTGCCCTCTTTCCCCCTAGGATTTCGTCGGAAAGAATTCCGTGGCAAGCTAGCCATTGCCATTACGGCAAATTTTATTAACCGGAACACAACTGCAGAGGCCAAAGTAGAGGAGATCAGTGGTGTTGCTTTTATATTCAACCAAAAATTTTTCCAGGAGCTGAGAGAAGCCACAGGTTGGTGTCAGCGCCTCCTGAGTGCAGCAGTTGTTGGCTTGGGTAGCCATGGATGTCACTGTTGTGTCCTTTGTCCTCTGTTTGTTTGCCGCTCTCCTCCTTTGTCCTTAGCCTGTTTCCACGCTGCTGCCTTCATGTGCGGTCCTCAGGGACCAGGCCACCCTGGGGTTTGTTGTTGTTGGTTTTGCCTTTTGTCAACTCATCCCCAGCTCCTTCCCCCGCCCTACAAGCTGGGTTCTCTGCTGGAAGAGCAGGCTGCCCACTGGCAGCTCTGGTTTGTTGACCCTGGTGACCTTTGCTGTCACTGTTAGCCTGCTCTGAAGTCATCCGAGCTCACCAGCAGCCATTGCTGGACGGAATGGGATTGTGGGTGGCTGTTTTCTGATGGATTGAGTTAGATATTCTGCTGCTGTGAACCAAAAATGTATTTTCACTGTTTTCTAGAGCTTGGTTTCTTTCCATTCCATGTATCTTGCAGGTTAAATGAATAAAAAATTCAGTATTTCTCTCTCTGCATTTAGGTATCTATCCTGTTAAAAAATCTAGGAGATGCCTCCAGCTTCCTTGGAGATTATCAGAGAGGTTTTACCTAGTACATAACCCATCCCCTCTTGTAGATTAGCCTCTCCTTGGCTTTGCTTTTCCCATTTTCTCTATTGGTCGTTGTTTTTAGGATAACCTAGGCTACTGAGTTATAGGGCAACGCAAAAGAAAGCAGACCTCGCGATTTCCATGCGCTGTGCAGGAAGTGAGGATCTGTGCCTAAGCAGCTCTCCTGCCTGGTGCTCCCTGTGCTCCCCGTGAGCCCCAAGTCCAGCCTTGCGGGTTCCCTGCAGTCCGGACTCCATGAAATCTCACACGCATCTTCTCGTTGCAGGCATTGATTTGGAGAACATCGTCTACTACAAAGATGACACACACTACTTCGTTATGACGGCCAAAAAGCAGAGCTTGCTGGACAAAGGGGTGATATTGCATGTGAGCAATGGATTCCCTCCAGGCAGCATCTTTGTTGAGCTGCTTGATGTGATTGATCACTAAGAATTTTAGTCTGTTGGGTTTTTCCTGTAAGGGAATAGAAATGGCATAAAACACATCTGGGAACCCCTGCTACTGATTAGTTGAGCTTAAAAATATGTTTAGTACGGAAAATTGAAACTATAAACAGAAGGAGGAGGGTAGAATGGGCCTGTGCGGCCGTGCTTAGGATTAGCTCTAACAAGTTACTGACCTGGCCAGATTGGTTCAATAAACCCAACCCTTCCTCTCTCACCTCTCCTGCTCCTTGACCATTTTAGATCCACTGTCAAATATCACATCCTGCATAATTAGCCAGTTTAACTTTAGATGACCTGATTTATAGCAATAGTGAATTCTATGTATGACAATTGTTGATCTATATACTCTCCTGTACCTACTAATTCCCCAGCCACAGTAATGGGGACTGAACCAAGGGCCTTGTGCGTGCTAGGCAAGAATTCTGCCACTGACCTGCATCCCTAGACTTTCTTTCAGAGAACTATTTCCTTTGAGATAGGCTCTTACTAAATAGCTCAGCTGGCCTTGAAACAACACCATAGCCCCAGGCAAGCCTTGAAAATCTATTCATCCTCCCTTAGCCTCTGAGTAGCTGAGATTATATGCCTGCACCACCAGGACCCACATTAGAGGCTCCTCTTTTCGGGGCAGGATGGCAGGTGTTGAACCAAGAAACCGCCCTTGGTGTTTACAATAGCCTGACAGTGACCCAAGTTTTACTGCAAACACTGGCCTATCCAGATTGAGGTATCTTTAGGGATCTTTTTAACTAACAGCAAAGGTCTGGTGCCTATCCTTAGCCAGTTCCAGCTCAGCCCTTTTTCTGGGTGACTAATTGTATGATATACCCTGAGCTGATGGCCTGAAATCTAAATCCCGGGCAGGATGGTTCTTTAAGGAGTGTGGCTGGTGTCTCACGTGGCCTCGCAGATCTGGATGTGAGAATTGCTGTCTCCGTGTGATGAATGGATAAAGTCTCGCTTGCACTGACTTAACCCCATGCAGTTCCCACCAGTCTCAGAGCTGACTCTTAGGGAGCTCTTTGTGTCTGCAGGATGGTAACACACCAGGCCCCTTAGAATGAGTCACACTGTTGCTCTATCTACAGCAGACTGGGGAGTGAGCTGAGGAGCACGTGCTTGCTACACAAAGTCTCCTTTCCACTTCATGTCTGCATCTCAGCATGGCAGCCCTGTGCTGCCTTGGGACCCGCAAGACAAAGCTCTTGGTACAGAGTTCCCTGCCAAACAAAGGGCATGTCTGCTGGCTGCAGTGGTAAACTGGTTGGTCATTATCTGGGGCTCTTCTGTTGCTGTTATATAGCAGTTGGAATGCCCGAGGACAGAGTCACGACTCAAACCAACCATCCATGCTGATCTGGGTCATCACTTAGCATTGAATAAGGACAGTCTGAAATGCTGAGGCCCAATTTACTTTGCCCCTATAATTTTGTCATGTAGGGGAGTTCAAGCTGCTAAATACTAAAGCCATTGTGGCCTCTTAACATTGAACAGACAGTACTTCCAGGACTGACTTGAGTGTTTGTGATTTGGCTTTTGAAAGCCTATGCTGTAACTGAGTACCGTTAGGGGCGCTTGGAACCCACAGGCCCCACTTTAGGGGAGAAGACTTGACTCAGTGCACAGGAACCTCCAAAACAGAGGAAGAGTCTCTCGGTTCTCTACATAGAAAGTCCTTTTTGTGCTGTCGTCCCTTTTGTTTGTTGGTGGGTTTTCCTGGAGCCTTGCAGAGTCCTCCATGTGGTTTAGAAACCTCTGGTTCATTTTCAGTGTTTCCTTCTCATCGTCCTGGACCTCTTCTCGCTCCACACCGGGCTTCTCTTTACACTGAAGTTTTCAGGTTTCCTTTAGGTGTAATAACTCTGAATTTCTTGCTGCCAAAAGCCATCAGACACCCAGATTAAAGTGATGATAGGAAAACCATAAATTTTAAAATGCCCTTTTGTTTTACAAGGTGGCTATTTTATTTGATAACCGTAGTAACTCTGAGGTGGATGAGCTTTGCTGATAGTGAATGGGAAAGTCAGGTCCATTTAGGCAGCAAAGCTGATTCACCCTTAACTAACACCGCCCCCCACATCCCTGTTCTTTTTAATTGGTGTAAAAGGATTTGGTTTAGGAATGTAAAAGCATCTTAGGGAGAAAAACGCCATGAGACCAGGTCATGTCTGATGTGCACTGTGGGGTTTTGGCTGGCCAGGCATCCCTGCTTGGGCTGCTCCAACTTGACCTTTTTTGACCTCTTCCTGGACAGGACTACACAGACACAGAGCTGTTACTTTCCCGGGAGAATGTGGACCAGGAGGCCCTGCTGAACTATGCCCGGGAGGCTGCAGACTTCTCTACCCAGCAGCAACTGCCTTCTCTGGATTTCGCCATCAATCACTACGGGCAGCCTGATGTGGCTATGTTTGACTTTACCTGTATGTACGCCTCTGAAAATGCTGCCTTGGTACGGGAACAAAATGGACACCAGCTACTAGTCGCTCTGGTTGGAGACAGCCTCCTGGAGGTGAGTTCTGAAGGGGGCAGAGAACTAAGTGGTAGAGGCAGTGGTAAAGGAGACCAGCGATGGTGGACGCCTGGGGTGCTGGTTTACTGTCCTCTTTTAATTGTGCTTTAACTCTGTGCATTTCTCCTTTGCAGCCTTTCTGGCCAATGGGAACAGGAATAGCCCGGGGCTTTCTGGCTGCTATGGACTCTGCCTGGATGGTACGAAGCTGGTCTCTGGGCACCAGCCCCTTGGAAGTCCTGGCAGAGAGGTAATGGGAAGAAGCCATGGGTGCCTCCTATAGGACTGGGGAGTTGACTGGCTTGCTCCTCAGCCGTGTGCAAGTTCTTCCTCCCTCTTGTTCACTTGTTCTTTTTAAAGATGCTTTCTTGTCTAAGTAAAGAAAGGCAAGGCACCGTTGTATAAAATCACAGAAACCTCGGTGATCTGCCCATGCTGCTCTTCTCATAACCCTGCTCAGGCAGCATCTACTGTTGGCACATGGTGTTTGCATCTTTGTGCATCACCCACTGGTCCTGACATCTTTTTAATAATTACGTGAACAAACGCACAGAAGCAACATGTTGGTACCCATGCTCCATAAGCCAGTGTGGCAGTGGGAATGTGCTCGCAGAGGGAACCTGATCACAGAGGGAATGTGCTAGCAAAGGAAATGTACTCTCAGTGGGAACGTGCTTGCAGAGGGAACGTGCTCGCAGTGGGAGTGTGCTAGCAGAGGAGACATGCACGCAGTGGGAACAGTAGGAACGTGCTAGCCGTAGGAACATGTACACAGTGGGAACAGTGAGAACATGCTAGCAGTGGGAACATGCACGCAGTGGGAACGTGCTAGCAGAGGGGACATGCTAGCAGTGGGAACATGCTCGCAGAGGGAACATGCACACAGTGGGAACGTGCTCGCAGTGGGAACGTGTTCGCAGTGGGAACGTGCTTGCAGAGGAAACGTGCTCGCAGTGGGAACATGCACGCAGTGGGAACATGCTAGCCATGGGAACATGCTCGCAGAGGGAACGTGCTCGCAGTGGGAACATGCTCGCAGAGGGAACATGCTAGCTGTGGGAACGTGCTTGCAGTGGGACCATGCTCGCAGAGGGAACGTGCTCGCAGTATGAACAGGCTTGCAGAGGGAACATGCTAGCTGTGGGAACATGCTCGCAGAGGGAACGTGCTCGCAGTGGGAAGATACTAGCTGTGGGAACATGCTCGCAGAGGGAACATGCTAGCTGTGGGAACGTGCTCGCAGTGGGAACGTGCTGTCAGCACTGTTGAAAGTGACAAGCTGAAGAGAAAACTCCAGCATGCTTGTAAACGTTTCTTGAACCCCTGGATGCCGGATGTTTGGAAACAGATGATTGTAAATGAGGCAAGGGCACTAGGATTCACTTGCTGTTTACCCTGACTAGGAGAAATAGAAATGTGAGATTTCCTTAATGAAACTGATAATTGATATTATTCTCTGATAGTTGATATTATTACTTTTCTATTGTGACAAAACATCATGACCAAGGCAGCTTATAAAAGAAGTTTCTTTGGGGGCTTACAGCTTCAGAAGGCTGTCGTGGTGATGGTCATGGTGGGGAACATGATGCCAGGCAGGGAGGCATGGCGCTGGAGCAGTAGCTGAGAGCTCGCATCTGACCCAGAGGCATGAAGCCAAGAGAGAGCTAAGTGGGAAACCTCTAAGCCACTCCTAGTAACACACCTTCTCCAACAAGGCCACACCTCCTAAGCCCTCCCAAACAGTTCCACCAACTGGGGACCAAGTATTCAGACATATGAGTCTTTGGGGACCATTCTCATTTAAACCACCACATTTCAGTCCCTAGCCCCCATAGTCTTGTGGCCATATTGTAATGCAAAATTCATTTAGTCCAACTTCAGAAATCCCCATTACATACTAACAACATACAATGACACAGAATATACATGACTATTACCATTCAAAACAGGTTGAATGGGGATATAATGAGGACAGACTCCGTATCTAATGTCAGAGGGTTTAAACGGCGCCAGCCTTCTCTCTTGGGCCGGTTCCACTCCCTGATGCCACTCTCCCTGGAAGACCGCCAAGGCTCTGGGATCTCCAGCTCAGTCCAGGCTTCCCTTGTACAGCTTCTCAGGGCCTCCTTGCAGACAGTCCCCTGCCGTAGCGAGGCCTCAAGGTTAGCTTCTTCCTAACCTAAGAGGAAGATCCCACAACACCTTTACTCATGCATCCTTCATGACTCTAAACTTTGGAGTCTAAACCCTAAACTTTGCAGCTGGTATTTCCAAGTTTGGCTGCCCACTTGGGATGGAGCCTGGCCCCTCCCTGCATTATATTTGCATAAACTTTGACTTGTTTCCTTTTAGGAGCAGAAGATTCCTTAGGCCTTTCCTTTCATTAGCTGCAGGGCTAGCTGTGTGGAACCTTGCCCTGAGGGTAGCACTCCCTTTTTACCATTTTATACCAGGTCTCTCTTTATGTCTTTTAACACAGTTCTTGGTGCCAATGTTTAATTTTCTTGTGCTCCTTTTCTGCTCAAACTGTACGTCTTGTATCTCTTTGCCCTGTTGCTCTCTTTCGTTATTGACCTGCATAGGAATGGTCACTAAACCGGGTGGTGGCGCACGCCTTTAATCCCAGCACTCAGGAGGCAGAGGCAGGTGGATCTTTGTGAGTTTGAGGCCAGCCTAGTCTAGAAGACCTAGTTCCACGACAGGCTCCAAAGCTACAGAGAAACGTCAAAAACCAAAAAAACCAAAAAACCAAAACAAAACAAAAAAATAAACAAAAGAATGGTTACTAATAACCTTATGACAGTTAATAGTAGGTTGTCTTGAAATCTCTTTTGCCAATAATATTAGTACAGAACTCTTCAATTTAGCCTCAGGCACATTCTTAGGACTATTTTTCTTTTCTTTTCTTTCTTTCCAAAATATTATAAGAATGGCTTTTACGACTCTTAACGGTGGTTTGGGCTTTGATGAAGAACACATCTGGCTACAAGAATTAATGTGAACTTTAGGACACAAAAAGAAGAAAACAAAAAGAGAAAAAAAAAAAAAGAATGGCTTTTAGCCCAGTTGCGAATATTGTTCTCCTCTGAAATCTCTTGAGCTGGGCTGCCGTAGTCCACATTGCTCTATGTGCTGTTGTCCCCAAAGCTCCTAGGATGGGCTCTACAGTGCTCAGCTGCTTTCCTAGTCCAGAGAACCAAAGTCTTCCATGCTTCCCCCAAATCTGCATAGTCAGGCCAGTCACAGCCATACCCCACTCCTGGTCATAACTTCTGTCATAGTTAGGGTTCCTGTGGTTACACCGTGACCAGTGCATCTTGGGGAGGACAGGGTTTATTTGGCTTACACGTCCTCATTACTGATGAGGAACTTAAAGCAGGGCAGGAGCCTGGAGGCAGGAGCTGAGGCCGAGGCCATGAAGGGGTGCTGCTTACTGGCTTACTCCTCGTGTTTGCTCGACATGCTTTCTTATAGAACCACCAGCCCAGATGGCACCACCATGGACTGGGCCCTCCCACATCAATCACTAAGAAAATGCCCTACAGGCTTGCCTACAGCCTGATCTTATTAGAGGCATTTGCTTAATTGAGATTCACTGCTCTTAGATGACTCTAGCTTGTGTCGAGTTGACATAAAAACCAGCCAGCATTGTTTATCATTTTAGATCGTTAATGTAAGGCCTGCGTCTGGATGTAATGACAAAGCTTATTTTTTCTTTGTTTTTGTGTGTTGAGATAAGAGTCTCCCTCAGTACCCTAGGCTGGCTTAGTACTCACTTTATAGTCCTAGCTGACCTTGAACTCAAAGCATTCCCCTGCCTGCGTGCTAGAATTGTAGGCGTGAGCGACCACATCTACCACCTCGCTACCACCATGCTGGGGACTGGACTTCCAGCAGGTGACCTTTGAGGAAGTAACCATGGCGCTGACAGACTCTATGAGGAATTATGCTAACAGAGATGTTTTGGAAGTATCCTTCATCCTTTAGATGAAATATTCTGAGGGGGAAGGTTCAGCCGAGGTGACTGCAGGGGATAGGGCTCAGGACAAGACACACTGTGTGTTCCAGTAACCCCACACTAGCTAGCCATAGGATCCTTTTCAATTTCTCAGAAACCACAGTAAATCCTTGCTCACTACACAACAGCCTTCTAAATTAGCGGCATTTGCCACCTCTGACAGAATTGCCCCTGCGCTTCCCTTTCCCTGATCCAGATCCATGGAGTCACTGAGTGCTGGGTCTGCAGGGAAAAGCTGAGATCGATTTAATTAGCTGGATTCATCAGGGATGACTGCTAATCTGTGGGGTAATTTGGTATCGTTACCGCATGTGAGCCCACTGTTGTGTGTCATTGCAGGGAAAGCATTTATAGGTTGCTGCCTCAGACCACCCCTGAGAACGTGAGCAAAAACTTCAGCCAGTATAGCATCGACCCTGTCACTAGGTATCCCAATATTAATATCAACTTCCTCCGGCCGAGCCAGGTAAGAGCCTTCTTGTCAGTTATGTACTCCTCGACCCGTGTTCTAGATGCTCATAACTCTACTCAATAGACCAGACCGGAATGTGTACAATTATGTATGTTATTATACAGTATATATTCCAACAGGAATGTGTATATTATTATACAGTATATGTTCCAACAGCAATGTGTTTTACTATGTATATTATTATACAGTATATATAGTATATATTCCAAGAGGAATGTGTATAACTGTGTGTTACTGTACAGTATATATTCCAACAGAAATGTGTACAACTATGTATGTTATTATACAGTATATATTCCAACAGGAATGTGTGTAGCTATGTTTGTTATTATACAACACATGCTTTAAGTAATCCAAGTTGAGATCTGTGTTGTTGAAGTAGATATTATTTCCCATTACCACATTCAGCAGCTGGGCCACAGAGAGTCATCCTTCCGTCTTTTTCTTTATTAGTTGGTCAGTTGTTTTGAGTTGGGGGTGGAAGTGGGGAGACTTGAATGTGCTGTAAGCCAAGCACACTTAGACTTACTATATAGCCCAGGCTGGCTTTGAACTCATGATGATCCTCTTGGATCAGCTTCGTGGGTGCTGGAGCTACGGTCGGATGCGAGCCACCATGTCTGGCTAAGTAAAGTTGTTTTAATGACTTGTAGAAGATCAGAAGTGACAAAAACGAGAGACCTAGAACTTCACCCTACACCTTCTAACCCAGACCACACAGAGCAAGGCAAAGGGCCCCAACTGGTTCAGTGGTCGGGAAGGATGGTGTCACCGACGGCATCACCGCCCATCAGCCGAGACTCAGCCAGGCTGTTTGGCTTCCTCAGAGCCTCAGCTCTGCACCTGCGAAGTGTAGTTGGTAACCTGCCTACACACAGCGTCATCATCAGGCAGACGATTGTTCTCGTGAAAGGGCTTTGAAAGGTTAGGGTGCTCTCTGCGAGTAGAAGCATTGTTGTTAGTGTCAGCCTAGATTTTGTCCTGACTCCTTTAGAATCTGTAAAGCCGTCTTTCCTATGACATCCAACAGAGCATAACAGTCCCAGGGAGTAAAACGCATCAGGAAGCAGCCTCCTTCCCACGTTTGTCTGCATTCTAGAGGACTCTCTTCTTTACCTTCTGCCTGATGTCTGCAGGCTTTTGTATGTGTCTGAACAGTGTTATAAATATGTTGAAGGTGGGCAGCATCTGGCCAGAGGCACTGCTGTAGCCCACTGGCTTACTTTTCCAGCACAGCTGCTTACGTTTAAATTTTGTGTCTCCAAAACCCCGGTCCACTAAAGCGCTAAAGTCATCATGTAGATTCTGTCTAAGCTTTACCATGGGCGGATAGCTCTGCTTAGCCACACAAGACCCTGACCCCGACTCCCAACACCGCCAGAAAGTAAAAATAAATATATAGACGTTACCAGCTTGCTTCTTTTCAGTGGGGATTTGTTATTTGGGTTTGATATTCCTTTTCGACCTTTCACCTTTCTGCCAGGTGCGCCATTTATATGATAGCGGAGAAACAAAAGATATCCACCTGGAAATGGAGAACCTGGTGAATTCCCGAACCACTCCCAAGCTGACTCGCAACGGTGAGCTCTGACAATGGTCTAACCTGTTTAAAGAAGTCTGCAGTCATCCGTCAAGCCCTTGCCTGACCACAGTACTCCCAGAGGCCCTGGACTGTTGCCAGTGGTTTTACCCTCTGGGGATATTAGGTTGTTGCCAGGGTATATTTTTATGTCGTGACTGGGTTAGGTTTGCCAGTGGCTGCAGTGGATAGAACTCGGGGCTGTTACTTACATTTTCTGGAATGCACAAAACAATCCTCACACCCACAGGAAAGTATTGTGGTCTAAGGTAGTGTAAAAGTGTGGAGGTAAAGCCCAGCGGGGGTGGCGCACGACGTAAATCCCAGCACTCGGGAGGCAGAGGTAGGTGGATCTCTGTGAGTTTGAGGCCAGCTTGGTCTACAGAGTGAGTTCCAGGACAGGCTCCAAAATCTACAGAGAAACCCTATCTCAAAAAAGAAAAAAAAAGTATAGAGGTAAATTGCTTCATGAACTTTTCCTAGGGAGACATAAGCAAATGTCTGTTTGTCCCAGATAGGGAACCGACAGTAGACAAAGTAATGAGTCCTCGAGTGTAGCTCTGTGACCCAGTGAGTTAATAAGCGTACCTGCAGGAACATGGGTGACCCCCAAATGTCCACCTCGCTGAAGTCTCACTCCCATACAGCTGATGATTTATTCACAGCTGTGTGGCTAGAGTCGTCCCTTCAGTTAGGCCCCTGCTTCTCTCTGCTCCAGCCCCTCCTGAGACTGTGCAGCTGGGGCAGCGCTGTGTGAAGCTGGGAGGGAGGTGTTTCCGTCCTGTGCAGGGAAAGCCAGCAGCCCTCACTTTAGTCCTTAAGGGTTGCTAAGCCCAGCTGCTCTGATGACGACACTTGGAAGACGGCGTCCCACAACAGCCAGTTACAAATCCTGGGGAGGGTGAGAAAGAATGCCCAAGCACACACGTTCCTGGGTACTCTCACATACACTCAAGTTATGGGAGAGAACACGTGGTGACCTTTCATCCGGGCCCTGAGACAGCACCATCGTGCCATGGCAGACATGAAGGCCATTCTGTGTTTTGTGTGTGTTGAAGGGCTCTGAGTACAAGCGGTCGGGTGCTTTAGGACAGACTGAGTAGGGACATGCACTAGGTGCACATCGCTTAGTTGTCTGTGGTAAAGACCAGAATGGGGCTAAGGCAGTGATCACAGCAGAACCTGGACGTCGGGGCCAAACACAAGCAGCTCTCAGTGCAAGCTGTGCCATCTGCAGAGTGTGACCTTGAGCGGATCAACCAGAACCTCAGACCCTCAGTTTCTTTGTCTTTGATCTGGGAGGAACAGCACAGCGCTCGGGTTGCTGTCATGAGGTTTCTGGCATGGCACTTGCCAGTGCTGGGCCTGCTATCCCTGGAAACAGCAGCAGTTTTGTCATTGTCACTAATATTAAAAGTCTGAAGGCACCACGGTGGGCGGGCATGGACAGCTGGTTGTCCTGAGAGGCAGTAGGTAGGTGGGTGTGGTTTTGCTGCACGGGTTTGAGTTCCATCGTGGATAGTTTAATAACATGGTCGTGAAGTGTCAGGGTAGCTTTGAAAACTAACAGGCAGGTTATAACATCCTCTTCTCCCGTGGGGTGTCAACCCCTTGAGAGCAGAGAATGGATCTCTCTTGCCTTTTCCGTGTTCACCTGGGCTTCTGCGGTTGCCCCGTATATGTGGAGATGTGCAGACGCGGGAAACACCTGAGTGGGTCACTGTCAAGGCCAAGAGACGGCAGCGGAAGCTCTCTGCTCCGTTTGTCGCCCCGTTTCTTGTCTCACACCACGCTGTCACTGTGAGACGTTTTTAACTCATCTGTTCACGAATCACAAAGTGGCTTAGGGCAAAGCTAAACCGGGAACAGGCTGCTCAAGCGCAGACCAGTGCTCACGGGCTCTTCTGTATTTGCAGACCTCCTCGTGAGGAAAACATGCCAGTGAGTCAAGAAACTTCTGTGTGTCTCTTTGCCTTGTCATCGTCTCCACATGTGATCGTTGGCACACATGTTAGCCACACGGTCGCTCACCTGGGTCTAGGGAGCTGCTCTGGTCTGGCGTGTGTGGCCTTGTCATTGTCACCCTAGAAAGTCTCTTCACTTGGCTCTCTGTCAGTACCTTAGGAAGTGAGACGCAGGCTTTGTTTGCTTTCGGTTTAAGGTATCATGGAGGAAACCTTTTCTGATCTAATCTCCCAGGTGTTGCTGTGGAGGAAAAGGCTTCCTCAGCCTGTTGCCAGGCAACTCTCCAGGGACATCTTGACTCTGGTGCCAGTGAGGTATCAGCTCAGTAGGTGGCACTTTGCCATCTGCTTGTCTCCCGGAGTGCTGCTGGAACATGGCTTCCGTGTGGCAGGCCCTTGTCACTCTGCTCGGAGCTATCTGTCTGGGCCATTGACCCTGCAATCCGATAGGTCAGTGCCTAAAATTCTGCTACCATGACACCAGTGACATAAACTTAGGCTGAGGCTCTCTTCCAAAAATAACAATGGCTGTTTTCAGTAATTTTTCAAACTGGAACTGTGTACTGAAACATGTATGCTGTGTCAATGTTACTTGGGGAGCACCCTTCAATAATTATTTTTACTGTTTTAGAGTCTGTAGCTCGTTCAAGCAAACTGCTGGGGTGGTGTCAAAGGCAGACAGATGGCTACGCAGGGGTAAATGTGACAGATCTTACCACGTCTTGGAAAAGTGGACTGGCCCTGTGCGCAATCATCCACAGATACCGCCCTGATCTGATGTAAGTCATGACCGATTTTGTGTTTCATTTTGTATTCACCAAGGGTCCCAGAGCCCCCTATGCAAAGTTTATGCTTCTTCCTAGTATGGCTGCACAGTAAAAAAAAAAAAAAAAAAACAACGCTCTCTAGAAGGCCAAGATTTTGACTTATTTAGACTTCTTTAAAATCAACCCCCCGAAAAAGTTAGCTCTAAAAATCATAGCATTCTGAAGGTCAAAAACTAGTTTTAACACCCACCTGGGCCTGTTAACTTTGCACAAAGGAAAACTCTGTTTATTGGCCCCAAGTTGAACTCTTCGTTTTTGGCTAGCTCGCTCTCAGATGCGATTGATCACAAGGGAAACCTGGCTGCAACACTTGGCTAGCTCAACCCAACCGAAGACAATAGGTCCGTACTGATTTATGACGGTCTTGGGCATTTTCTCTAAAGATTATACTTTTTACAAGTGCGCCCTTGAGCTTCTCTGAACGGCATCTTACTTACTATCCCTCTGATAGCCATTTTTCACTCCTCTTGGGTCAGCCCGCTAGGACAAAGCACTCAGACCTCACCCTACCTTTGTTAGGTTGTTGTTACTATGGAAGCCAAACAGATTCAGAGACAGCAGCAGGACCTGGTGGATTTTCTTGGCTGCCTTCTTTTTTATCATTAGGGCCACTCAAGGGCCCAGGTTTTTCCCATTGTTCTAATGCTTGGTTAAGGAAATCCTAAAAGACACAGCCCCTATTTTGTGATTCTAGCTGCTAATGATGCGAGAGGTAGATTAGCAGTGAGGACCCTGTCAGTGTAAGGCTCTAGGTTTGATCCCCAGGACCACAAAACAAAACAACTGTAACCAGGCATTCCCGTGCTCTCAGCCTCCGGCCGCCGGGCCGCTTAGGTAGGAGAGTCGAGTTTCAGATTGAAACTGTCTACTAAAAAGAATAAATAAATACAGAGAGATGGGAAGTGTATCTCTTGATCAACAGACACCAACCAGGCTTTAGGTTCAACCAGGCAAAATTAAAAGAAGGGGTAAATTTCTAATGACCTCTGAGGCTGAGGTTGGCAAAAAAAAAAAAAAAAAAAAAGTAAAAAAAGTAAATGAAAGTAGCGGGTTGAGGAGGGAGAACAGCTATGTGGCACGATGGGGCTGGAGGGGGGATGGAGGGTGGGTAGAGGGGTCCTCTTAGAGTGCGGGCAGGTGGCCTGAAGAAGGCCTGAGGGAGACCGGAAAGCAGTGAGGGCCTGCGTGATTCAGCACGGTTTGGACCGTGTTCAGGGTGAGTGCTCTTGGTTTAATAGGCTTAATCTAAGAGAAAAGTAATTTGTTTGAAATGGAAAAAAAATTCCAAGAGGTCAGTAGGTTAATGCTAAGTAAGGGATGCCAGGATAGTGAAGTCAGTGAGAAAAAACCTCAGCGGTCCTTTAAGCAAGAGCTTAAAACCTGGGGGGCGGGTGTTTGTGAATCAAACTGGAAAAACTGGGAGAAGTTCAGGAGATTCAGGGGTTCCCTTTTGAAGAAGGTTTTAGAATTTCCCCTCAAGAGAAAGCTTAGTAAAATTTCCCTGAACTGTTGGGGCAAGCGACAGCCCCAGACATTGGGAACTCTGTCCAGACAGGGTTGTGTCACTGTTGGACATTAGTTTCCTATGTGTCTGTGGACAGGCGTGCAGGAACACACGCTAAGATAGTTCCCGTCCTGAGCTTACTTTATAGTAAGAAGTCGGTGTTCCTGGCAGATGCAAGCTGTCTCTCCCCTGCCACCTCCTCCCACCCCCTCCCAGTTCATCTCGCTGGGTAGCTGTCCAGTAATTTCCCCAACGGTGTTGTGGGTTTTCTTAGCTGGAAGGGAAGAAAGGGGTCGAGGAAAGCTGACCTGCTCTCTGATCCAAGGATGCCGCCCGGCTCCCTGGACCTCAGGGACTGGGAAGTGGCAGTGGCGCAAGGCACAGTGCTCTGGTTTGGGGGCAGTCAGCCCTACTTGATCTGCTTCTCCTTGTCATGCTTCCCAGAGACTACGACTCTTTGGATGAGCAGAATGTGGAGAAGAATAACCAGCTGGCCTTCGACATCGCCGAGAAGGAACTGGGCATCTCTCCCATCATGACCGGCAAGGAGATGGCGGCAGTGGCGGAGCCCGACAAGCTCTCCATGGTGATGTACCTCACACAGTTCTACGAGATGTTCAAGGATTCACTCTCTTCCAGCGGTGAGGACCTGAGGGCTCGGGCGGGGCTCCTGGCCCCCTGCTGCCTGGTCAGCAGGGCCGTCCCTAGAGCCTTGCTTCACACGCTCTGTCTCAGCCCTGTGTTCTTAACCTTACCCTGTCTTCAAAACCATTCTCACTTTACCACTAAGCATGCAGAACCGATCTGTCCAAAGCTTTCTTCCTTGACTCTGCCACATTCCCCCAGCCTCTCTCAGACCCATTTCTTCTGCACTGGTGGCTCCTGATGAACTTGGAAGTACTTTGTGATACTGCTTCTCTTGGTGGGACTCTGCCCAGATGACCCTGCGCCCTGGCAGAGTCTCCCCAAGCCAAGTTCTTTTCTTGTCTCTCACCTCTTTATTTTTTCATTTTTTTAGTTTGTGTGTGGTGCATGCATGAATGTATGTGTATGTGTGTGTGTGGTTGCTCCTGAGGTCTCATAAACATCAAACATGCTCCTCACACTGGAGCTACACGCCTTTGTTTCTCATCTTGTAGTCTGGGTATTTCTCCAGTCAGTGCCCTGCCGTGACATCTGCTGGCGCTCTCTCACGGTCCCAGCGTCTGCGGTGCTGGGTTTTAGGATTCTCAATAGCTCCTCGCTCTCGGGCTTCCCTTGCATTTCTCCCTCTTAGAGATTCCCATTTGTTGCCTTGGCCCTTAGCTTGCTAACTCAGCTAGCACTCAGTAGGGCTACGGAAAGTATTCCTGTCGCAGCCTGTTCTGGTTTCCTTTTCTGCTGCTATGATGAGAACCCTGACCAGAAGCAGATGAGGGGAGGAGAGAGTTTTCTTGGCTCCCGCTGCCAGGTCACAATCCATCACCGAGGGAAAATGGGGTGGGAGCTCAGGCAGGAACTATCAAGCAATGCTGTTTGCCACCTTACTGTCTGGTTCACTTGCTCCCAGGCCCGCTAGACATCCCAGGGCCACCTGTCTGGGGTAGTGCTCCCTACGGTCATCTGAGTCCTCCTGTATCAGTGAATAATCAAGACAGTCCCATCCCCCCCCCCCCCAGGACAGTTTGACCCAGGCAGTTGTTCAATCAAGACTTTTCTCTCTGATGACACTGGGTTATGTCAAGTTGACAAAGCTACCTGGGACACCATTTAGGGTCCCACAAGCACAGTGCTTCAGAGTGTCGGCAGTGTCTGACCTGGGTTTTGTTCCAGTGTTTCCACGTTTCACCCTTGGGCAGGTTGCTGAATTTCCTTACACGTCAGTCTCCCTGCATGTAAACGGGGAGTGATGGGTATCTAATAGTGCTGTTTTGTGCCAAGAATGGCAAGTGAGCGCTGAATAAATAAATGTTAGCGATTCATTATCGGTTCTAATTACTAGTCTCAAAATTGCTGTTGCTATGAATGTAATATCAGAATTCCCACCAGCAAGATGGCTCAGTGGGTAAAGGTGCTTACCAGCAGACAATAAGAACCTGATAAACTGAGTTCAGTCCCTGGAAGCCACAGAGAGGCAGGAGGAGAAAACTGACCCCACAAAGCTGTCCTCTGACCCCAACACATGCTTGGGTCATGTGTGCTTCCCCGATAATAATAATATTAATAATATTTGGAATTCAGTTAGTGGTACCCTCCTCCCCCGGTGTCTTCAAGCCCATATACCCTTTAGGCACCTGTGTCTTTGCCTAACTGGATATATGTTTTTTACAGCACCAGCCCTGAGCCGAGTAGCCCTGTTCATTGAGAACCCTTCTTCAGAACCCAACTAAGAACATGGCCTCTGAAGCCCCCCCCAAACAAAACCCAACAGCCCCATGTCTCATACCTCTCAACCCTCCACCCCAGCCTGAAGGTTTTTTGATCAAAATTTGACTTCGGCAGTCTGCTGTGGTAGTCACAGGCAGAGTCCAACCTATACAGAGCAGAAGTGTGGGTTGCTGCAACTGGAGTGTAAGGAATGTGGTTGGTTATGTGTGTGTGGATGGAAAAGAGAGTGTCTAGACCTGAGCACGCATTTCCTTTCTGGTGTTTCCTATGGAGAGGAATGCTCTGTCTTAGTCAGTAACCCATTGCAGTCTGGGAGCTTCCTTCCTGCCAGGCCCCTGTAAGGGAACACGGTTCTGGTCAGGACTTTGAAGCATCATCCTAGGTAAACATTGCTCACTCCTATCCACAGACACCTTGGACCTGAATGCAGAGGAAAAAGCCATCCTGATAGCCAGCACCAAATCCCCCATCTCCTTCCTGAGCAAGCTGGGCCAGACCATCTCTCGGAAGCGCTCGCCCAAGGTCTGTGCACACCTGAGTTACATTCACAGTGGCTGCAGAGCTGATGGCCAAGGAAGGTGACCAGGCTCACGCTGTCTGTGTCTTCTCTTGGTGCAGGATAAAAAGGAAAAGGATTCGGATGGGGCTGGGAAGAGGAGGAAAACCAGTCAGTCAGAGGAGGTAAGACTCATCACAGTTGGCAGGACTGGTGCACTGAATTGTCCTTCATGGTTGAAGGGTTTGGGGTTTGTCTATTTCTGTGTGCATGTTTGTATGCCTGTGTGAGTTTATATGCACTGTCTATGTGCAGGTACCCGTGAAGGCCAGAGGGCACGGGATTCCCTGGAACTAGAGTTACAGGTGGTTGTGAGCTGTCTCCTATGGGTGCTGGGAATAGAACCTGGGTCCTCTGCAGGAGCAGTAAGCACGCGTAACCACGGTGCCGTCTCTCTGGCCACCTGGTTTAATTATTAATTCTCAAACTGGTATTGCTAGGTCTTTACATAGTCATCTCTCATGAGAGTTTCTGTCCTTTTTGCCTTCGTTTCATTTTCCAAAAGCTAGCAGGGAATATGCACACGCATGTGCCCAGGCGCTCTCTCACTGTGGAATCACATATTTGGCAAAGCCCAGTGGCTTGGCTGAGATCCGGGAATGCCAGCACAAGTCCCTGTGCCCTGTGGCAGTGCCCTGCCTCCTAGGATCTTGCTTACTCTGCACATCACAACTTTGCAGAGTGCTAGTTAAGCCACCTAAGACTGCTGGTCAGTTCCTGCCCACACTCTGAGAGAAGAGCATCGGCGACTCCCTGTGTCCCATCTTGATTCTTGGGTGCCTTCCGTTGGGCAGGAGGAGCCTCCCCGGAGCTACCGAGGAGAAAGACCCACCCTGGTGAGCACCCTGACGGACAGGCGGATGGATGCGGCCATTGGGAACCAGAACAAAGTAAAGTATATGGCAACCCAGCTGCTGGCCAAGTTCGAAGAGAATGCGCCCGCACAGTCCACTGGCGTGAGGAGACAGGTAAGCGCAGCTTCCCAAAGCGCCAGACGGCACAGCAAGGGCGACCTTGATGCAGTGAGATGAGCCATGCCACAGGCCCCGGGACTCCTGGGCCAGGCTTGCTCTTGTCTGAAGCTCATGCATTCAGGGCTGCATTAGCTTCACCTCAGGTCTGAGGAAACCGTGACCACAATCAGTAGAGAGGTCTGAAACGTATTTGTCTGGATGACTGTAAACACATGTATGTGTTCGCACGCACACGGACTTGAATTACAAAGGAAGCGTGGTGTGGAAGCGGTGCTTGGGGAACTGAGGCAAGAAGATTGTGATTTCAAGGCTAGCCTGAGCTACACGATAGACCATCACAAGAAAAGAATCTGACTTCCTGAAGGAAGTCTGAAAAGTAGAACCAAGGTGCTCAAGGCTCCTACAATTCTTTAACTTTGCCACATTCTTTCTGGTGGCGACCACACTGAGGACACACTTCCTCAGGTTCCGCATTTTGTTATTGACCACGGCTTACTCCCATGTCTTCTCAGCTCACATTCGGAGCATGTACACTGGGCTCTCACTGTCTCTAGCTATGGTGGATGTTTTAGTTCCTTCTCATCTTTGATAAGATACAAAGGTATCCATTCTTGCTTCTGTGAGCTAAGATTTTTGTTCCAGGAACATGGGCCATTTAGGTGGAGACGCCTGGAGACAAAAGTCACGTGTCATAGTCTGACAGCACCTGGCCTGGAGTGTCCGTATCACGCCTTGTCTCTCCTTTGCTCTGCAAATGTTGCTAAGCCTCTTTAAAGAGAAGGGGCTAATGTTTTGAAAGTCTGTCTGAAGTGTGTTGCACCGCTCCCTGATCCTGAAGGAGCATCAGGACAGGGAGATTCTCTTTCTTCACGGGCTGTAACTCCTGTGGGTCCAGAAGCAGCCGTGCATTTGCTTCTCATACCTGCGCTGGGTTAGTGTCGACACCCACCCCTGTCTTTGCCTGTTGTGTCGCAGTGGGGATGGTAGGGTTCCCTGGAGCGGTAGAGGCTGCTGTTCTCTGCCAGCCCCGTGTCAGGAGGCCACAGCGCCCCCTAGTGGAAGCCTCTGCAAGAAGGTTGCTTTCCTCATCTGAGAGGGAGTTTTCTAAATCAGATAGTTGTCTAGACCCCCAGAGGATTCAGTTTGGGATAAGAGTAGCAAGAACCACAGCCTGTTTCCCTCTCTTCATCCCCTCTTTTATCCCTCCACAAGCGTGTTTGCACTTGCGTTTGGTTTGGGGGAGGCTACTGTTGTTCCTTTATTAATGTAACTTTCTGAGAGTTAACTTAGCCTGCCCTCCCTCCCCCACCCCGCCTCACAGTTTATGGATGGATAGATGGATGTCTGTCCTCCACAGGTACCTTTTTAATGTCTTCTCCTACCTTAATGTGTTTTATTTTGTTTTGTCTCCATGTCCTGCCCCCACTCACATGTGGCCTGTGTGTGTCATAGCCGACACAAGAACGTGGGGTCAGCCGGCCGTCCTGCTGCCTGCCTGAGCAGGGTCGCCCTGCTCCCATCCCCCAGTGGAAACAGGTAAAAGAATTGCTAGGGTCTAGAATGGGCCTTCCACCCCATCTCTGCTCCTGGCCTGCCTGAAAACCTAGCTCACCAAAGCAGGAAGCTCTACCCCTGCGAGTAGTCTTTGGAAAACGTTTGACAGGCAGTGATGGTCTCATTCCACGGTTGCGTTTGCTCCCTGGGATTTGAGGAGCCTCTTAGGAAGGCTGTTGACTCCATATTGAAGGTAGCTGGAGTGATGTGGAAAGTGGTCGAGGTATGGCCCTTGAACTCTTGGGCTTTGCTGTTGTAATGTTGCTTCCAAATTGACCCCTTGGTAGCCTGCTTCCGTGCCACCTTTGTCATGCCCGAGAGCTGGGGTTGGTGCCCTTCGTGTGAGGCAGGAAGTACACCTATGGGAGTGGTCATCAGCTGTGGATTTGTTTCTTTCAGACCTATGCAAAAATGATTATGGGTTGGGTTTTTTTGGTTTTGGGTTTTTTTCTCCTTGGAATTTTGTCCACATCTTTTGGTGGAAGGCTTAGGAGCCAGTGGGAGAACATTTGCCTAGCTTCATGAGACCCTGGGCTCCATCCTTAGTCCCACCCCAAACAATAAACGATAAACCTCTTCTGGGGATTTCCACCAAAGCCTTTACAGGGCTTCTGGGAAGCTGCTTATCGGCACAGGAGGGACCCACGCCTCGGGCAGGGGAGACTTGTCAGTGGGTAGGAAGTGTCTGCACTTTTCTCCCTAGTGTTGTGTTCCAGCATTTTAGCGCTGGGGGCAGGGTACCGGATGACCATTCTCGTAGTTAGGGTCCCTTGGATAGAGCGAGCTGATCCTGGGTTCTGTTAGCTTCTCCCACAGCTGGCCTTACCAGCTCCGGTGCCTGGAAGTGCTGGGGAATGGCAAGCTGGCGTTGCTGAAATTGCTTTTCGAAGAAAATATTCCTGTCTAACCTTGTAATGATACTACACATGGGAATCAGGGCCCAGGAAGGAAGAGAGAGAGAGAGGATGCTGGAGCAGTGCCCAGACCCAAACTTCTCACCTCACTAGGCTAGAGAGAAGCCTTCTAAAAACGTCATCACGAATTTGTTCGATTTTTTTTTTTTTAATCTTTTGCTTCAAGTCTTGATGGAAGGGAATCGGTGAACTCTAATCTAGAAGTTTGGAAATGTCAAGACTTATTCTTCCCAGAAAAGGCCCAAGATTAAACAGAACAGCAGGAAGGTTGGGTGTCACCTACAAGCGGGGACATGGGTGGCTCTGTGCGCAGCCTGTGCTGGGACAGCTTTGTCAGGCTTCTGGAAAGGAGGGGGCAGTGTGTGTGACCCAGAGAGCCTGCTAGGTCTCGGCCTCTGTCCTGATGAAGATCAGTCTGGCAGCCTGAAAGGTCACGAGGAACCTGGTTATACGCGGGCTGCTCAGGAAACCCAGTAGCTCACGTTATGCCAAGACCTGTGCAGAGACTGTATTTTTGTTTCTGCCTGTTCAGTTTGTCATCCGGCTCCTTTACTGTCGCCATCAGTGAAGTAAGATACTGGTAGGCTCTAGCGGGTGTCATGAAAGATGGTGTGAGCCCTGGTGACCTTGAACAATGCTCTAGGCTCCTTTGAGTGGGAGTTACAGCCTTCAGTGTCTATATAGGTGGCACTGGCACCCTGTACCTCACATTTGTTCCAGGGGAATGTCAGACACTCACATTCATCGTATTTCAGCTTCAGCTCATGGGTTTGGCCCTCTCGATGTCTCTCCTGAGAGCTAGAGATGCGTTCAGACGCTCCCAAGCCTGGGAACCCGGAGCCCGGGTGCCTGGGCTGCTGCTGGCTGGCCTCTCGCCTCCAACAGACAGCACCACACTGTGACTCACTGTGTGTGTCTCTTTGAGTGGCTCCTACTGAGGCGGCAGGCGTGGCAGGCGTGGCAGCCATGGCAGAGTTGGCATGGGGACCTGTTCCGACTTAGGTCATCGTGTAGAAGGAGGAGAGTGGATAACAGCCCTGCTTGCCAGCGATTTTCGTGCTGTTCTTTCCAGTGTAAACACTGCAGCCTGTCCTTTGCCCTCCCCTTTTCCTTTGGATCTCAAAAGTGCATCCTGCAGACGAGTTACACATCAGCCTAGGTTTGGAAGCAGATTGTCATACGAGGTGGGAAACACACCATGGAGATGTTTCTCTGACCTCACAGCGGCCACAGTCCTCCCCACCCCCACCCTCTCCCCTGTATTAGCAGTCTGGGTAAAGGAAGCTGAGAATCTTCTGGAAGGTACCAGAGAGACCCAGGGCAATGTGTGGCTGTTTCTCAAATACTGAGAAGTGTCTTTCTAAACCATGTACCAGCCCACAGAGAAGGGCGTATGTGGTACAGGCAGGACAAGGGATAGGCATTCAGTTAGGACTTAATCTGTAGAACCTGTTTTTGGGCATTTCTTTGTGGTTTTTAGAACTCTTGCGTGTGAGTGAGGGGCTTAAGAAAGCGAGGCATTGATGCGATGTGGCCACAGATGGCTTGGGGGAAACATGCTTGGCTGTGGTGTGACCTGGTGTGCAGAAGCCATGTGCTATCCCAGGTGGGCCTGGCTGCCTTTTCTTTCTGTTTATGATCAGAGCCGTCTCTGTGTCCCCAACTTCTCTGGCAAAGCCATTGACCCTTGGCTTTAGAGGGCATTGCACCAAAGTTCTCACCAGCTGTTTAGTGTAAGGCACCAGGCTACCGTGAAAGACAAAAGATTGTGACGAGCCACTCCTGACCACAGAGTGAGGTGTTGCGAGGGCGGATGGTCAAGGAAGGGGCCGCTTGGGATGCTTTGCAAATATGCAAATCCTCCCTGGCCCTCCCAGGAGCGATCTCCACGAGGCCCCTGCTTCAACAGTGTTCTTTCTGTTTGTGTCTGTTGGTGTAAAAGCGACAGGAAAAGGAGCGTGCTCGGACCTGCCCCAAAAAAGTGATCACCCTCTCTCCTCCCCCTACTCCACCCTCCCGCCGGGCGCGCCGGGTTCAGCAGGTGATCCTCTGCATGCTCTGTGTCCTGTCTGTCCTCCTTACACGATGCATGGAGGGAGCCACCTCAGTAACCCCGCTTTCCAAGCATAAGTTTTTAGAAGATCACTCGTAGCAAAAGCAGCCTTCACTGTTTCAAGTGAGCAAATTCCTGTTGGGACCTCAGGATAGGGCCCTGTGCATCCAAATCCTGCATGTTCTGGTCCAGTCCCTATCGTGGGAGGTCAGCCGCAAACCAAAGTGTAAGCTATAGTCACCTCAGATCGAAGGCCCGGGAGCTTTAGAGGAGCTCTCTTAAAGTAGCCGTGTTTCTTTTGCTGTCTTGTGCGGTACGGTTAAGATGTGCACAGGAAAGCTTCGTGCGGCCTCCCTGCATGGATTTGTGCCTTGTGGTGCTGACAGCCTGTTCTCTGGCTCAGACAGCTTCTCCTAAGGAACCCAGCCACCCTTTCACACTCTAGGCCGATCACTGAGAGCCGCCAGGCACATGTGGCTGTTGCACCACGCAGACACGCGTTTATGGTGGACACACCTATACAGTGCTCACACAGAATGACTTGCTGACCTTTGAGCTGAAACCCTAGAAAATAAAAAGCCACTTCTGAAGGCAGGGTTTGTGGAAGGATATTTCCATAATGAAGGTAACCTACCTAAAAGGTGGCCATTAATGATGCATCTGGGTTGACAGGCCTTCCTCATGCCCCAGGGCCTAAGAACTGAGACACGGTGGCTGTTGTGACTGCCCAGTGTCTTCCTCTAAATGAAAGCTCATGAGTTGAGCATTTGTCCTGCCCCACACAGTATTTCAGCCCGTTCTCACAGTAACTGTGGGGCAGGTGCACCATCACCTCCACTTCCAGCCCGAGGAATGGGGCGGAGAGGCCAAGGAGTTGTGCAAGACTACAGGTGAGCAATGGCCAGAACAGAACGGGAGCTGTGAGAAGTCCGGAGGCAGGCTCTAGGCTCACGTTGCCTGTGGCAACATGTCGGGGGCACCCGATGAGGGCAGCCACCTGGGACGTTGACTTCCTTAGTGGTCATCGTGGTCTTCCTGTCCCCACAATTGCCATCTTCGTTCTTTCCTCACTGAAGCAGCCCTGTGCCTGCTCTAGGATTTTCCATGACCTCACACTGGTGCATTAACCGAGTCTTTCGGTTTCCCTGCAGTGAACTGTGCCTTGCTCCCAGGTTCCTGTTTAGGGCCTGCTCCCCACCCTGGAGTTTCCTCCGAGCTCTGTGATGGTCCTTTTGCATCCAGTTTCCGTCTCCCCACCTTCCTTTCTGAGGTCTTGCCGGGGAAAGCTTCCCTGCCAGCCTGCCTCCTTAGCTGAGCCCTCCACTGCGTGCCTCCAGTCTACGCCACTGGTGAAGGACACGTTTGCTCCACTTTTGTGCTAACCACAGCTCTTTGTCTGTGTAGAGGCAGGTGGAAGGCCGCACAGAACATTGTCCCAGATCATGGAATTTGATACAGGCGGGATTGTGGATAATTGGTTGGGGACATCTGGGGATGGGGAGATAGATGAATTAACTCTGAATTCTTGCCTAAATCTCCGCCTGTTACCTGGTAGGTCCAAATAGAGTTGGGGTGGAGCTTAAGTTTCTACTTTGTTGCCAACAGATATGCAGGGATCTTCATGCTGACAGCCGTGGCAAGCAGAACCCCCACCATGAGAGGGTAAAAGCATGAGCCTGTGGCATGGGATGCTGAGAGCCAGCAGTTGGGCACGCTGGGTGGTGTGGGGCAGAGGGAAGGGAGCATGGAGAACAGTCCCTTCTCCCAGCTTTTTGCACACTTGTCACCCGGCCAACAGCCAGAACGTTTTGCTAACAGCGTTGACCCATTCAATAGCATTAACTGCAGAGTGTCCATCTGCAAAACATTCAGAAGACTGGTTACTAATCCTGGTGCTTTCGTTGTTACAATGGGCCTTGGTGACTTTCCAGTTTCATTCTCCTGTCCGGTCCTACGACCTAATCACTCTACCCCTAAAGCAGGTGCGAGTGACCACAGGCTTTGACAACTGGGGAGAACCGGGAGAGGGGAAGCGTTGGGGGCAGACAGTGAAATTCATGGTCTTAGCTCTTGAGATAGAAATGGGCCATTGTGCCATTTTTCTCAATGAATGTGATGATGAAGCCCTTAGCCAGCCTACTTTTTTCATGAAGATTTTTGCATTGATCCTATCCTTAAAGATCTCCAGTGAGCTGGTGGGCTGCCTTGTTGGTGATTTCAGAGGCGCCCTCTCCCGGCCTTTGTTCTGAAAACTGTATTGAGGCTCAAACAGCAAGTCAGGTCCCATCTTGGGTTCATTAGCAAACAGATGTTAGCACCATCTTCTCTGCCCTTGGACCAAACTCCCAGCAGGATGGGGTTAGAGAGGAGAGAAGGGATTGAGGTGGAGAAGGCCGACCTCCCTGCCCTCCCGCCACTGGCCCTGCTTCACTGCTGCTCGGCAGGGGAGCTGGTGTGGATGTGGCATTTATAGCCTCTTCTTCCCAGACCCTACCATAGTCCTGGCCATCCTAAGAAAGGGAACAGGATAGTGCCCTGCATTCTGGAGAATGAGTGCATATGTAATGAGGTGCTGATGGTTTTCAGTAAACAGCATCTGGAAAGGAAGCAGGAAGTATGCTGGGTAAAGGAAGTTTGGCAGGAGACCATGTGAGGTCCAGGACCATGGTGCCCAGTGGGGAGAGTCATAGCCAAAGTGGCAGTCTGTCATGCCAGGAGCTGGTGTCTATCAGTTCCTCAGTGGGGCTCAGGCTAGACACTGGGGGTACTGCTTGCTTCTTTCCCAGGATGTCTCCCCACTCTGTAGCCCTGCTCATGCACTGCCTTGCTCTCTCTCCATGGCTCCCCTTCACTCAGTTCCCCACTCTGACTGTCCCACATTCCAGCAGAGTGGTTGGTTATCTCTTCCCTTTCGATGACAGTTACTCATTCCCAGAATTGTTGCTCTATATTCAGGGCCAGGAAGCTGGCTGGCCATCTGAAGCAGGGCATAGGGAATTCCCAGGTTCCTGCCACGGCACTGAAATGTCCACCAAACTGGGGTGCCGTGGGTCTCCTTGAAGCCTGGGCAGTACCCCTGTCCTTCTTATCTTGTGAGGATTTCTATCCTCGGTGTGGTAGGAAGTGAGAGCAATTGTCAAGGCGAGCAGTCACCTTTTCTCTGCTAGCTACATGGGCTCGGTATTGAGGAAGACCCTGGGCACTACTGCTGCACCAGCTGAAGCCAGTCTAAGACAAGGGGGATTTAGATCTGGTCCCTGGATCACCACTTGAGATTTGTCTGACTCCTTAGCAAGCAGATCTGCCCTGAGCACTGATCATAGAAGGAGAGTACCTGAGTTCTGGCCATAGGGAGGCATGGAGAAAGCCTTGGGCGCTGTCCCCAGGACAAGGGCATCCCTAGCAAGGGATTGTGAGGTTCCCAGTCCTGCTCTTCACACTATCAGGAGAGAACTAGAATAGAGGTGAGATGTCCCTACCAAGGAGCAATCCTGCACAGGTCAGCAAGGGCTCTGGGAGACACCAATGTCACATGTCACAGAGGGTGAACCCAGTAGGAGCACCAAGCCGTGGTGCCTGAGGCTTTCATAGGTGCTCAGAGACAGGCTCCGGAGCCAACTGAGCTGTAAGCATGGGGGAGGAGCAAGCGGGGAGCAGATGGGAGCCATAGATGAAGCTCCCTTTCTTCTGGGAATTGGCCTGCTTTATTTACCGCGTACCTTCTGTAGCTAAAGAGCAAAGCCGTCTGGCTCGAGTTTCCTGTGTTTGAGGTATGACTTTTAACGTTGACTGTGCTCTTTTTCTCCACCTTGTATTTTATAGCCAGAGCCTGAGCCTTCACGTCGGTTTTTTGTTGACCAGTGGGAGCTCTCCCTTAGTCTCCGCTCCTCCACCCGCCCTGCCTCTCCCTCCTCTGACTCCCTCCGACAGGTAGCATGGCCTGGACTTAGCAAACCATGTTCTCCTGCAGCCTCTGCTCACTCTACTTTCACAGGTGTCCCCCACCTGAGGGAGGCTAGGAGGCACGCCTTTGCCTGGCGTGCGTGTGTGTGTGTGTGTGTGTGTGTGTGTGTGTGTGTGTGTGTGCGTGCATGCGCGCGTGTGTGCACACGCGTGCGTGTGTTGTCACAGATGCCTGTGTTAAAGAGGCTGCAGCTTTCTTTGAGTGTGTCACACATCACAGCCTGTCCGAGTGAACCCGCTGTTAAGCTGTGTCCAGTATTGATGGCATTTTTCAACCTTTGGCTGAAGACTACGTTTTTATAATCACATGCTACAGGATTTGAACCATTCCGTCACTAACTTTCATAAGATAGTAAGCACACAGCGCTCTTGGTGCTTCTTTGTGTGTGGAATGAACTTTGCTTTCCCCCCAGTGGCTTTGATCCAGTTCCAAGGTGTTGGTTAGGGATCGGAGGGTCTGTTGCCTTGGCTTGTGCCCTGTGTTCTTGGCCGGTACATGTGTGCGGAAGCACGTGCATGTGTGTGGTATGCAGGGGGCAAGCCCAGCAGTTGCTACACCTCGACTCCCTTCTGAGAGTGGGAAGAAGACAGCCGTCCGCTTTTCCTGCTGGAAACAAACAGAACCTGAGTCTTCAGCTCTCTGGGGGATGCTTGTCAGTGTCGCCACAAATGTCATCAGTGCCTCTGCATGTGCAGCCCAGGCCATGGCTGCTGCGGTGATAGAGGTCCTGGGTGCACACAGCGGGGCTAGGACTGCAGCGTGCTGGCCCTTTGCCACCTCCTCTGCAGGATGAAGACGGTGTGACTTTCCGATCCTTTGAGGGCAGCTCTCCTCCCTCATTTCTGCTCTCCTCTACCTGGTGTCTACCTCTCTCGGGCCTGTGCTTCTCCAGGTCCCGAGTCTAAGAGACTGTGGAATTGGCAGGCAAAATCTCTTTAGCAGAGTTGGAAAATGAAGTTGATCGCTCAGTTCCAGCCAGCCTTTGGCTTAGCCTAGTGAGAAGTGTTTTCTCAAGTGTGTCTGTTCCCAGACTTAGAGTTGGCCCCAAGGAACCTGGCTGTGCTGCTGCTTGGGCCGGCAGCCCTTTTACATGTGGCTTTAAAGGTTTATCCCTTGAAGTCATTTACTGGGGGGTTGATGCCATCTCTGGGATAGCTGCATCTGGATCAGAATTGTGACAACCTCTCCCACGTGGCTGGGAGCATCCTGCCGTGAGAGGTGTAGCATCCCCTGTCTCCATCCAGAGTCCTGACTCCCAGGTCTCTAAAAAACGGCCCACAGGACAGGATCCAGGCTGGGCCACAGGGTGCCAGGCCTCTGTGAGCAGGGCAGCTCACTGTACAGATGTGGACATTTTTCCTGTTTGTTTTTAAAGCATTGCCAAAGGGGGCTGCATTAGTTTGATTTGTGTATGTGTTGGGGGAGAAGGCTAGACTGTCTCATTGTGTAGTCCAGGCTAGACTTGAACTCACTCCTTAGCCTCCCAAATGCTAGAATTGCAGACGTGTGTCACCATACTCTGCTTTGGATTTTATCTTCTTTTGCCGTTGTTCAACTTTAAGAGCAATTCTTCCAGGGTAAGAGGAACAGCTTCCTGCAGGGTGTAGTTTGTGACTTGGTGTCCCCCCTGGTCTGGGAGAGCTCCAGCCTCCACATCGGGGAGAATGAGCACTGTCTTTCTGCTCTCACCCCCCACTTCCCATTCCAATGGGGGCAGTGGCCAGGGGAGGTCACGGTGGTCAGCTGTATGGAGCAGACACTGTGGGTCACCAGCAATGCCAGAACTCTTCACACCTGTCTCCCCCATGGGACATCAACCTCTGCAAGAATCTGCCTGGTTTCCTTCTCAGCCTGAGGTGGTCACCTTACTCGCAGAGCCCTTTGGGCCCTCTCCTGGCTCTTGACACTGTAGCCACCTGTCTGGAGTTGATCCCTCAAACTCTGTGAGTTCGGGTGCAGGCCCCTCTTGCTCTGCCGTGTTTGCTTCCATTTTGCCTTCTACCTCCGTGTCCCCCAGGTCTGGACTCTTAGGAAAACGTGAAGGACCGAGTTCTTCCCATGGAACCTTGTCTCCACTGCTGCTGCTCATGCGTGTGCTGACCACCGTGTGGACACCGGCACAGTGTTTCGCTCACTGCCCAGTTTCTGCTTGTGGGCACTGTGTTGGCATGGTTTGCTGTTGCACCGTGTGTTCCTTTTACACCACTCAAAAAAATTTGTTCCTGGCTCCTTAATTTAATTTTTTTTTCCTTCTCATTTCCCTTCGTTTGGTCATTCTGTAATCTTCAACCAATAGAAGTACATAAAGATGTACACGGGCGGAGTGAGCTCATTGGCTGAGCAGATAGCCAATCAGCTTCAAAGGAAAGAGCAACCCAAAAGCCTTCTAGACAAGAAGGAACTGGTAAGAGATATTCCAGGGCCACTGACTCTAGCCACAGTGGTGAGCAGCCCTCTCCTGCTCTGAGGCCTTACTGATTTCTGTAGCCACGTGAATGACTACGGGGTAGCTTTCTTGATTTTGATGACTGAATTTCTAGAACTGTGGTAGATGTTTGGAATGTTCTGTGGAAAAGCACTTTTTTCTTTAAAGATAGTCTCTCCGCTATTCAGGGGATGCACGCACATGTGCACACTCATGAATACCGAGTATATGTGTATTTATTCTATCCCCCAAGCAGAACTCTGGCAGAATAGTTGGTTTGATTGTTAAGAAATTCTGAAACCTTGGACTCCATCACAGGCATCTCTGGGTTGTTGATCACCACGGGTTTAGACCCCGGCTTATGGAGTAAAAGCTGCTTTGGAAGCTGCGCTCTGGGAGAGCTACAGACAGAGGGCTTGTCATCACTTACTGTCCGCAGTCTGCGGCCGTGTGGCCCGAGTCGGCATCACCCCCTGGAAGGGCCGCAAACACTGGTGTCTTCTTCTTCTACCCACCCCACAGGGCTCCATAAAGAAGGAGTTCCCACAGAACCTGGGGGGCAGCGACACGTGCTACTTCTGCCAGAAGCGGGTCTACGTGATGGAGAGGCTGAGCGCCGAGGGCAAGTTCTTCCACCGCAGCTGCTTCAAATGCGAGTACTGCGCCACCACGCTGCGCCTCTCTGCGTACGCCTACGACATTGAGGACGGTGAGTCTTCCTGCACGCGAGGGTGACGCCACGTTGTCCTTCTGAGCCAGAGACCTTGGGCCTCGCTGCAGTCCTCATTATTTTCTCTGTGTTCACCCTTCCCAGCCATCTCTTTCCTTTTTTTTCTAATTCTCAGACTGGGGATGGAGTTTACAAGACAGGGTTTCTCTGTGTAGCCCTGGCTGTCCTGGAGCTTATTCTGCAGACCAGGCTGGCCTCCAACTCAGAGATCCTCCTGCTTCTGCCTCCTGAGCGCTGGGATTAAAGGTGTGTGCCACCACCGCCCAGCAAAGTAATTCTGAGACTCTTTAAAGATATTTTTGCAGTCACCAGACTGTTGGAGCTCAGCCAAGGAGGTGCTGACGAGAGCAGCGTGTCCATGTCGTCCCCTCGTTTCACACGCTCACCTCCTTACCTCACACGACAGAGACTGTGAAGGCTAAACCAGGCCTGATAAGGGTTCCTAGAATTCACGTTTCTTGCCTAAGAAACGACCACAACCAAAATAGATCCCAGGCTTGTGTCTTACGGAGCAAGGTGGAAAGGCCCAAGCTTTGTCACCTCCCTCTGGCATCAGCGTGTCCTGGCCTGGGGCCCAGGTCTGCTGGTTAACTGGAAAGACCTTAACTGGAAGGTGGAGAAGTGTGCCAACAAATAACAGGCAGCTCATCATCTGAAAATTCTTAAGGAAATGGGACTACGTGCCAAAGGCATTTATGACCCCTGCAGCCATCCCTACAGGATGCTGAGGGACTCGTGGGTCATGGTTTCATTTAAGGGTAATAAACCTAGGTGAATAGAAGAGGAAACGCCATCCTTACAGGAATGATACTAAACCTGCGTCTCAATAGGTTGTATATTGACTGTAAAGAGACCAGAAATGATGATGGCAGAGGGAACCCATAATGAGTCACCCCCATCATATGGACCCTCCTAATGGTGAAACTCAGCCACAGCTCTGTCACAAAGCAAAGGCAGAAAATAAGTGACGAACTCAGCATCACCTTCCTGCACTAAGAGAGACAGTGTTCAGTGAAGAGTCAATTAGGTGAGGAAGCTAATCTCCTAGTATCGAGTTTTCTTCTTTACTCTCACACATCCTTTCTCTCGGGACAGCACCTTCGACTCCAAGGAGAGGTGTTGGCAGGAAGGGCCCCCACCTTGTAGAGCTGTCCTTGATACTTAGGTTATTTTAGTTGGTCTTTTACCTTGGATGTGCCTGGAAAGAAGATCCCTGATTCTCTGGAGGGCGTAGATGAGGTGTAAGTGTGCCTCTAGGAGCTTAGCAGTTTGTATTCTTCAGCTTCCATCGATGTGACGAAATGCCTGAGATCAGCTTATGTTGGAGGCTGTAGTCTGCGATCTCCTGGTCCGCTGCTCTCTGGCTGTGACATGGTAGCGCATGGCAGGGGTGTACCGCAGAGCAGGCATGTTCACTTCATTACCAGGAAACCAGAGAGAAGGGATCAGAGTCCACAGTCCCTTTCCAGGCACACCCCCAGCGATCTAACTTCTCCCGGTAGCTGAAGACTCAGCCTTTATTTAACACGCGGGCTGGTCTGTTCGGTGGGAATGATACCCACAGTTCACACAAGGCAAAGCACACAGGTCTTGTTTTCAACCCCTACGTACACCATTGAGACCACAGGAGCTTGCCTAGACTGTCCCCTACCTGGAATGTTCTTTCCTAGTCAGGGTGTAATGGGCCTCTTGACCTTCCTGTCCCCACATGTCCTCCCCTCAGAGGTCTCCCCAGACCTCTGTCCGTGAAGTGGCCACCAAGTGCCAGTAGCGCCACCTGCTGCAGTTGTGCCCACGGTGTTAGCTGCTGTCTCGGGCTGTGTCACGTGTCTTCTGCTCCATCCAATTAAAATGCTCGTCTGCCTTGACTGGAGACCAGTGTCCATGGTAGCCTTGTCCTTAAACGACACTCACAAACAAAGAGTCAATGACAGTTCATTTTGGGCCTGCCTGACAGATACCTGCGTCTCCCTGTTCATCACTCATTTTGATTACAACGATTGCTTAGTCTAGACGTTCCCCAGTCCGCCACTTCATTGAGTCCTCTCAACTGGTGACTGATTTCACAATGTTAGACTGGTGGGCTTTCCTGAGACAGGAGCCATAGTGCAGTGTCAGACAGTGCAGGCTCTGGAACCAGTTTCCTGCCTGAGGTGCTCTGACTTGTGGCCGGCAGCTTGGCCTGACTATGCCTGTCCTATGAAAGGGTAGTAGCAATGCATCCCTCAATGGGTGGTGTGAGCACCAAATGAAGGGATAAATGGAAAGCCGTTGGAGTCATGTCTGGAGCATAGTAAATGTTAGGTAAAAATTTGTGTGTATTTGTTTTTTAATTCATTTAAACAGCAAAAGTAATTGAGTTGAGTTTGGGAAAGAAAATGAGAGCTATGTTGAAGTCAGGAATAGTCGCATATACCTGTGATCCCCTTGAGAGGTGGAGACAGGAAGATCAGGGTTCAGGGTCAGGGCGGGCTGCGTGAGTCCATACCTCCAAAAAAGAGAGAAGCATTGATGGTTAACAGAGCACACATCGTGCCTCTGATGGTGAACTATTTCACCTTACAAGGCAGAAGGTCTGTTCCTTCCCACGGGAGGAAGTGAGCCCTAAGAAGTCAAACGTCCGAATGACTGCCGAGAGACTGGCTTTCACTAAGATCTGTCTTTGGTTGTGTTTCTGCGTCATGCACTACCTTCCTAGAAAACAGGTGTCTGGAATGTTCTTGGAAGTTACCGTCAGCCCTTGCATTTAGTTACGATGTGGAACAGGACCCAGTGCCTGTGAGCTGGCAGCAGAGTTTGCGATCTGAGTGTTTAACTTAGGAGAAAAAGTTCAATGAAGCAGTATGAGGTTACTAGTGTCCTTGTGCTGTCCTGAGCCTCAGGCCAGTGAGATGGCTCAGCACGGCACCCGTGACCAAGCTGGAGACCTGAGTTTGAGTCCTTGAGACCCACATGGTGGAAGCAGAGAACCAGTTCCTGAAAGTTGGGCACTGATCTCCACACATGCCCTCCCGTGCCTGCCTACACAGACACACACACACAGAGACATAAATGTAGAAAGGTTTTAAATTTAAAAAATAAGTAGACAAGCTTCATGATGAAATCCAAGTCGCTAAATGTAAACTTTAGAATTATGTCTCCCATCTAAATAATCTTAGAGATGGTTCTGGAGAGATGGCTCAGTGGTTCAGAGTACTAGCTACTCTTCCAGGGGACCCGAGTTCAATTTCTAGCACCTACCTGATGGCTCACAACTGCCTGTAACTCCAGTCTCACTGGTCCAGTGCCCTCTCCTGTCTCTGTGGGCACCAGGCACACAGGGTGCACAGACATAAATGCAGGCAAGTCATACATAAAAACATAAATTTAAAATGGACTCAGAAGTGCTTCTTTCAAGGCCCCAGCAGTCCTCCATAATGGCCATGGTCAACCTGGCCTCAGTCACATGTCAGCCTTGGGGAATGGGTCCTGAGGTGGCTGAGGTTGACCAGTCTGGTCCAGTATCTTCCCTGATAGCCCCATCACTGTCCCGTAAAGGAGGATGGGTAATTCTTAAAGAACAAAATACAATACAAATCCAAAACACACTGGCTGATCCGGGTACTAATACATTTTATCTGCTGTTTAGTGGGAGGAACCCCCTAATCCCAAATTATCTAAAAGGAATTGTGGATAAGCTAAAAACAAAACAAACAGCATGAAAAACATATAAATCAACTCTTCTCACATCTAGAGAAGTAGATCATGAAATGATGACCTCTGCCCGTCACGTGTCCCCCACAGGGCCAGGTCTCTAAGTCCTGGCTAAGTGCCAGCAGCTGGTGAGAAACCTGCTTAAACTGTGACAGATCATGACTATCTGAAGTCTGTAAAATTCTCTGTTATTTTTTTTTTCACCTTTGGCTTTAAATCTAAACTCTCCAGTTACGGTCATTGTTAAAGGCATGGCTGCTAGCCGATGGGTGTTTGAAAGGCAGCTGGCTTGTGAGGGCCCTGACTTCATCAGCGGATTAATTCACAGATGGATAAATTGTTGGGTGATGATGGAAACTTTGGGAGATAGAGCCGGGTTGAAAGCGGTAGTAACAAGGATGAGCCCTGCAACTTGTCCCTGGCTGCCTCCCCATTTCCATGCTTTCTCTGCTTCTTGCCATCTTGATGGGAGCATCTCTTCTCCATCCACCTGCTCTCCACCGTGCTGCCCTGCATCAGCAAGGCCCAAAGCAGAGGGACCAAGTTACCTTGGATGAGACTTCTGAAATCATGAGCCAAAATAGATATTTCTTCCTTTAACTGTTTTCCTGAGTATTTGACAAAGCTGACTTTACATAGTAATAAAAGCAGATAAAGGAAAAGTCAATTATTTTATAAAATGAAGAGAATACATAGGCGTTGGCAGATGGCTCAGGGGTAATGGCAGGCATTACCTCAGGCTCTGCAGACATAAAGACCTGAGTTTGAGTCCCCAGAACCCACATAAAAAATGCCAGACATGGCTACATATCCTTATAACCCCCCAGCATGGGGGAGCAAAGAACGGCAGGCCCTGGGGCTCCCTGGCCAGTAGCTGAAGTGGCAAATTGAGTGAGAGAGCCATCTCTGGTCAATAAAACAGGAGGTTATAGGGGGACCAAGTCCCGGTTTCTGCTCACGCACCTGTGGACGCATGCGCACACAGTACCGAGAGATACACCCAGGTCACGGGAAGGGAAGAGCTGCCCCTTGCCTTGCTTCCTCTGACGTGTCCGTGCCCTGGGTTTGCCTTTGTTGGACTCGCTCTTGGCCAATAACAAGGGAAAGCAGGTAGCTCCTGATGCACACCTCAAAGTAGAGAAGAGATCCGGGCAGCTAACTCGTAGTTCAACCCAGCCCACTTGTGTTGGGAAGGAAGACGGATCTTTAGATGTTTTTGGCCTCACTCTCCATAGCAGATAGTTGCATAAGTACAACCCAGTGAGTAGACAGGGCTGGAGGGCGTAGAAAATTGGTCCGCCCTGGTTATATTGAAGCACACTCTTGGGTTTTACTGTTTATTCTCTGTTCATGATCCACACAAGACTCCTTTGTTACTGTTTTTGTTGGGGTGTGTGTGTGTGTGTGTGTGTGCAAGCATGCATACCACAACCCATGTGTAGAGAAAAAAAGCAGCTTTGGAGAGTCAGTTATCTCCACCCCCCTTGTTGAGGCCTGGCCTCTCTTACTGTTTCTGCCCCTGCACTCCGGGGCAGCTGACCCATGAACTCCTGGCCCATTCTCCTGTCTCCGCCTCCTATCCATCCATAGGAATGCTGGGATTGCAGATTCTTACCACCACATCCTGCTTTCTGCATAGGTCCTAGGAACTAAAGTCAGGTTGTCAGGCTGTGCACAGCACAAGCCTTTGCCTCTTAGCCATCCTTCACCCCTTGTATTATTTTTAGCACTTACAGGGTTGCAGCCTGCTTTGGACTGACTGTGGCTAGTGACAGGGAGGGTAGGAATCCATGGAAGTGGAGGGGATCAGAGATAGAGTTAGTAACTGGCGCCACCCTAGCCCTTGAAGCCCTCCTGCTTCCACCCCGCACTTATTGACTCTTGCCCTCCCCAGAAATGCCACTGCTGTTGTCATGTGACTGTGTCTTTGTCCTCAGACACTACTACTTTGTTCGCTGGCTCTGTCCTGCAAGCCTCACATTTTTGCTCTGGGCACTGATTGGTGGCTGCTCAAGAACCTTCACACACCCAAAGGGGAAGACCTCTGGTCCAACACGGGCAGCAGGCTGGGGGCTGGTCTTTCTAGATTGTAGGGGGAGTGGGGAGCTGTGACGGGCAGGGGTTGTGCAGTGGCATCCTGTGGCCAGCAAGCCAAGTTCCCCGTTGTGGCCTTCTGCTCACTCCTCCTTTCCCTGCTTCTTCCTGTCCACAGGCAAATTCTACTGTAAGCCGCACTACTGTTACCGACTGTCCGGCTACGCGCAGAGGAAGAGGCCGGCAGTGGCTCCTCTGTCTGGAAAGGTAACTTCCTATGAGTGGGACTCTCAGAGTGTCGCCTGTCCCATGAGTGAGCTTGAGAGGAACTGCGGTTGGCTAGATGCAGACGAGCCAGGTTTACCAGCTTCTAGTGATGCAGGTCTCAGAGACAATACTCAGGGCTCCTTCCAAGCAGGGGAGCGCCCTGCTGCTCACCATAGCTAACCATTCCTTCCCCGAGGTCAGAGCTCTTCTCTTTGTAGCTGGAGAATAAGTGGCCTTTTGCGTCCACGGAGTCCCCATCGTAGGTCCCATCTATGGAGGGAAAACAGTTCTCTACCGAGTCTGTGCAGACCCTTCTGTCCTCTGGGCGAGACAGTGTAATTAACCCTTTACTCTCTGTAGTGGCTCCTTCGTGATATCAATCGTCCAGAGAGTGTTTAAAGTTGGCAGGAGGGTGCATATATGTTAAATGTCAGTGCGTCGCAGATCTTGATATCTAAGAGGTTGAAGACTTCTTTCCGGGGAAGACTTCCTCTCCGAGGAATACGGTAGACAGACAGAGTAGCCATTCTCGGGGGTCATTGAGGGCTACAGTCAGAATCACTGTTCTTTTTTCATATGAACTCTTCTAGGAAGCCAAAGGAACCCTGCAGGATGGTCCTGCCGCAGATGCAAACGGACTGGCCAGCGTTGCCGCCAGCTCGGCCGAGAGAACTCCAGGTAGCCTCACTTCCTTGTTTGACTGGGTGGTGCACCACTCTCTCGGCCTCTGTGACAAGGCCAAGGGGATGAGCCAGCACCTCCAAAGCAACATTTCTTCACTCGGGCATCAAGTGGCCCAAAACCCGCTGGACTCCTTTTTCATGTGTCAGCTGCTGGTGTTTGGAGTCCCCTTCCTCTATGGCCTGTCAGAGGTTCTGGTGCAGATTGGAGGGGAGTTTCACTGGCAGACTGTGAGCCAGTGATGGTGCTGTCTGGTGAGTGGGGTTACCTCACACTCCCAAGACACGCCGAGGTACTTGGTGCAGACACTGTAGGTCAACAGAAACCCAAACGAGGCTGCTATGTCATTGACCCAGGGAAAGCCCAGAACCGTAGGCTTCTGTGTGACTCCTGTGTAGGGCCTGCTTCCTGTCACAGAGATGTGTAACTGGGGCCCACAGTTTGAATGTGTTCACTGCAACTTGAAGTTTTTGCATCCCATTCCCCAGCTCTGTGTCCAGATCGTCCATGTGGCAAGGGCTACCCTCTCCTAATCACTTTAGGCATAAAAGTGTCCAGTGAGGGTCAAGACCCCCTTGTCCCATTCTTGTTACCACTTCCTGTGTCAAGAGCTCAGCAGTACCATTCTACCTCAGAACACACGCCAGCTATACCCATTGCCAGGCAGAATAGGGAGTGTCAGAAGCATGGGGCTTGTAGAGCATTGTCTTGTGTTTTTCCTTAAAATTTGCCCCTGTCTGTACTTGTAAAGCTAGCCACAGTTCTGAACACTTCAGGGAGGTCCTGAGTACCCTGTGGCGGCCCCAGATGGCTCTCATGGGTCACTCTTTATGTACGAAGTCTATGGGCTGTATTTCTGTATATTCCACATTTTCTCTTGTTTACGACAAATATAGTTTTTTCTTTCTTGTTTATTTTTTGTGTGGGGTTTTTGAGATAGACTCTCAGTATGTAGCCCTGGCTACAACTGTATGTGTAGGCCAGGCTGGTCTCAAATTCACAGAGATCCACCTGCCTCTGTTTTCCCAAGTGCTGGGATTAAAGGCGTGCACCACTACACCCAGCAGCAAATATATCTTAACACAGCCAGGTACAAACTCAAATAAAAATGAAAGATTATCAGCCAGTGCCAGAAGCCGCAGAGGAGCCTGTGTATACTTTCCATGATGATGGGCGGGGAGGAGGAGGATTTTCTTAGCTTTCCAATGGAGCTGCTTCTGTTGATGAAGTAAGGAGCGGACACAGTCCTTGGGCACTGCCAGAGGAGGGAGAATGTGCCTGGGACTTGGCAGGAGTCCTGTGGGGGTGGGGTGTGTTAAGCCTCTGAGGCACAGAAACCCAGTCAGGCCTGGTGAACTTGACTGCCACTTTTCTGTGTTCCCTGCTTATGCTCTGAGGAAGCGGAAGCTTTTGAGGTGCTCTGCTGGTGGGACCCACAGTTTATAACCATACTTTAGCCCCAAGTGACTCGGAGCCATGTGTAGTCTGTCAGCCCTTGGGAGTATTTCTCAAGAGTCTGCCACTCCAGAGCATACACTGGCAGGAGAAAGTACCCTGGCCGCAGACACAGCTGTGAGTTTACACTGGACTGTGCCTGTGACCAAGTGAGAGCCCCACCGAGCAGGCTTGCCGGGGAACCCGACTCCTCAGTCAAACAGAAAAGTTCACTGTCCCAGGGGTAAAGGGCGCAAGAACATTCTTTTCAAAAAGAGATATCAATGATTTTGCTAACTCTCTTAGCTTGTTCATTTTGCCTCTCTGTCTGTCCAAGGAAAGCATAGTGGGTTTCAGAGTTTTAGAGCCATCTAAAGACATAAGGAAGCCATAGATAAGGACAAGAATGTGTCATAAAGCACTGAGAAAATGAGACTTGCCAGCGTGGTTAAAGAAACAGAACAACTGAGAAAGGGCCTGAGGCAGAGGTTTTCAGAACAGCAGGGGAGGTTAGGATTCAGAGTCCCAAAGTATCCCAGACTGAATGTCCAAAGGGAGCGAGGCTGGCACTGCCCAGGGGACTCTCTGCAGTGGGAGGCCAGGCTCGGGGTTTGGAGATCACAGCCCTGAATCGTGAACATGCCCAAAGCCCGGCCTCTTGCCCTTGAGAAGGACTGGGAAATGGGCGGCATCATGAGAGATGTTTCGGAGCTGCCCCAAAATGGGTTTCTGTTTTTTCTTTGATAGAAATGCCTTCTCCAAATCCCACAGTAGCTTTGAGTGTTTGGCTAAACTTCCTCCAGAAAGGTTCAGACATAGCTCAGGGTCTCAGGCTTCCAGAATGTGTCACAGAAGAGGTCTTAGCCTGGTCCCTCTTCTGTCACATGTGGGTGCCTGTGCTCCCTGGAACCCAGCATGGAGGAGGAGCAGGAAGAGCCGGGCTGTGGCCAGCGGCCCTGCACCTCCTTCCTTTTGTAGCTCTTCATTCTTTCCCCTTAGGCAGGAATTAGTGCTGTTGGCAAAAATAAAATAACAGCAACAAAAATACCCCCAAAATAACAATAGAACCCACCTTAACCTCGCATAGGCCTAACTTCACACATTGTCTTCCTCTGGTAACCTTGTCTACGACTGCTACTTGACCCACTGTTTGAGACACTGTTTACGGTATTTCTGTTTGTAATGTGCTTTTAATATAGAATGCCTCCTTTTGTTCTTGAACCTGTAAATGCTTTGTTTCCAAGCCTCCTCTTCTCATTGCTACGGATCAGTGGGCCTGGCACAGATCTCGTTACCCTGGCCTCACAGTACCAGCCCGAGTTTAGGAGAAGTCTGGACAGCAGGCAGAGAAAGACCTGGATGTGAGCCCTTGCTTGCAAGTGGTTCCTTTTTCAGGTAGAGGAAGCCCATGACGCAGAACCAAAAGTGAGGCACAAGGCACGTGAGTGGGAAGGGAAGGGAAAGAGAGCCTTTCTGCCAGTGTGCAGTGTCTAGAACGTTTGCACGGCAGAGAGCAGGCGGGAGGCGCATGCTCCCAGTCTTCTTGTGAAGAAGAGCGTCTTCCCTGGAGAAGCTGTGGTTACAAGGGGAACTGACCTGTTCCCTAACCCTAGGCACTCGACATGGTATATGGTACCCACTGGCTTCCACTGTTGTATCCCGGTGGGCTAATAGGAAACACAGGCACTGCCCACACTAGCCAGAATAGCCACATGCTACAAAGAATGTCACCGTGCCTGGTGGAGGTCAGAGATCCTCTCCTGGCTTCCTAGGGCCTCTTCCCTTCTAAGGCTGCTGAGTAAAACCCAGCAGAGGGAGCACTGTGGAGCAGCTGGCATCCGGCTGCCTCCCCAACCCTACCACCAGAGCCACAGCTGAGCAAAGGTACTGAGTGGACATTTGTGTCTGCACACCTCTCTCCGTCTGTCCGTACATCTTTGTGTGTATAGGTTTAAGTTCAGTGTATAGGTAGATACTACTTAATGTATACTGTGCCCTAAATAGAAACAGTGAGACTGTTTTTAAAGCTACTTGTTGATCTGAAAGCCATAGGAACTTTTCTCTGGAAGCTTGTCCTGACTTGACCCCAGCCTAGTCAGGATTCCAAGGAAGCTCAGCAGCTAGGCACAATGACATTGGGGGCTTAGACATGGGGCTAGGTCTCTCAGGAGACGGGTGGTACAGAACCCCAGACTCAGGTAATCTGATTTCCTAGTCGGCAAAGCAATAGTCTTGCTGGAATGGGGACCAGAGAATTACAGACACCTAACTTCCCTCAAGTCAACCTGTGGGCTGTGTTGGCTTCCCTGTAGCCATCTCTGCTACCCTGTCTTAGTATTTGCTATGCGTGACTGCTTCCTGCAGCACGGTGGGAACATCTTAGACCCTCTGTGCCACTGAATACTGGCCAGTGAAGTAAGGGACTCACTTTCAATCACCCTACCGTTCCCTTGGGGTGAGGCAGGAGCGGGCGGGGGGGGGGGGCCAAACAATGCCCAAAGCTGTGTGGTACATAGAAGCCAGAGTGGGGAGGATCAGCTGTGCCAAGGAACACTTTGCCTGTCCACTCTGACCTTCCCTAAAGCTTTTAATTTGCCCTTGTTTTTAATCTGTGCTATTGTGAGTTTTTTTTGGTGTGTTGCTTTGTGAGTTTTTTATTTAATTGTGTAACTTTGTTTTCGCCATTACTGTGAAACTAAGGTGTTGTGCTTTAAGGTGTCTTTGGTTTTTTTGGTTTTTGTTTTTTCACCAATGTTACATTCGTATTTAAGAGAATAAATTCCGAACAATCTGCAGGTTTCTGAGTTTTTCTTTTCTTTCTCTTTTTCCTGATTGGAGCGTGGGAAAGGGGAAAATCAGGCAGGCGTGGGGCATGGGCTGTAGAAGCCACTGTTCCTCAGGGCCCTCATTTTCGCTGAGGATAGGGAGAGCACAGATGGCCATGGGGACCAGGTTACCCACGAGTATGGAGTACGGCTAAAGGAAGACATTGTACGGGGCATGGCACGAGGCAGCCACTGTAAATAACAGTATGAGCCCTCCACCCGTGTGTCACCTGTTTAGGGAGCCAGCATGAGGGACCTCAGGCGAGGCAGATGAAGAATAAGTTTCTACACAGAGCCCAAGTCTACCGAGGGGACATAGAGCCAGGTGCTGTCCTCAGGAGAATTGGGACCAGTTAGATGTCTTCCCCCTCTGTAGATGGGCTTGCTCAGGCGTGGTGACTGGGGTCCCGGTCACATGGGGATCCTTGTTCTTGGCTTACAACTGGAGTCTCTCCTGAGCTGTCTTAGGAGGGACCTGGCTCCTGAGTTCTGTTGTCTAGTTTCGTTGGACTATCCTCAAGCCTGGAGAAGCCAGCCTCTCCTAGTCACACATGCTGCTGCTAACCGGGGAGTCGTGACACTTCTGCCACCTCAGCGTGCCCGCCATGGGAACAGAGGCCAAATAGGGCCCAAAGCGGGCACCTTGGTGGGCGAATTACTCTGTACTGAGTTTACCCTGTTGGGACATCTGGGTGTTGTTCCTTGCTGACATATACCCAGCCAGCAGCAGACCTCTGA